ATTCCAAATCACAAATTCGACCAAATTACTTTATTACAAATAGACGACCAATGTCGTTCTAACAACAATAATTATAATAATTACAATTACCTTCTAATTTATTAGCTCTTGGAGCAAAAAACTGCAAACGAACAACAAAGAGAAACGGGAGTCCAAAATGTCCGCAAATAATAATTCAAACAAGTTCACAAGTTAAGTAAAACAAATGTACCCCAAAACAGTGAAATTAATGATATTTATACATGAAGGTTTTGATCAGCAAAATGTCTTCGTTTCTCCCGTAACAGGGTAAGCTGTTAGTTATCAGGAATATGTGCTTGCAGATGGATTTTATGATCATAATCCTAGCTGAAACATGTCTATCCCCCGACACTGGAAACAAGGAAGTTAGCTTGTAGGGCATGACACTCCTACGAAGCGAAATGGTGCACCAAACAGGAGGCAGAGTGGCTATATGCATAAACAGACATTTAAAAGCCGAATGACTATACGACACCCGACTAACTGGTATGATAGAACCTTATTGATGTTTCTTCAACACAATTAGCTCGAGGCACTTAATTGGAAGGATATACCGGTCAACCTCAAGAACTAAGGCCTAGAAAGATGAGTTGGTCGAGAAAATTTACGAATCAGGGTTTGTGTCCTCTGAAAGGTCCGAAAGGAGAAGACCTTACCAACCTAGATATGGCTGCGTTCTTCAGCACAAACTTCACCGATCGGTTAAACTAGGTGTCCACATGTTCAGAGTACTACACAAACCCAGAGCCGGCTGATGGCCTAGGGAATATCCGTATTACTCCTGACTTAGTACTAAGGAAACTAAAATTCTTACGCACAGGAAAGTCGCCAGCTTGTGACAATATTCCCTCCATAGTCTTGAAGCAATGTGCAGAAGCCCCCTGTACACTGAAATGTGACCTGTTCAGGCATTCACTCGAGTCACACCAACTCCCATATGAGTGCAAACAAACTGCTGCCTCTCCAGTCTTCTAAGGAGATGGGAAGGACCCAGCCTGTTACAGATCACTCGCATTACTAAAAACAATATCGGAGGTAATGGAAGGGCTTGTCAATGAACAAACGAAGGAGTACCTGGATAAGAAAAGCATGCTTCATGTAGCTCAAAACGGGCTTCCGAAAAGCAGGTCATGCATGTCCAATCTACTTATAGCATGGGACAGTTGGACATCCTGCTTGCAGCGAAAAATACCAGTACACATAATATTTCTTGACACTGCAAAGCCCCACGCACTCCTAATAGCGAAGGTTGCGGAAATAGACTTCACCGACCCGCTCCTATATTGGCTCACAAACTACGTAGGGAATAGAAAGTTTTGTAGCAAGATGAATCGAGTGAACGCGAGTTGGTGAGTCTCAACATCGGAAGTTTCACAGGATACCATCTTAGGTCCGCTTTTCTCCTTGATATTCATTAACTATCTGTTGGACAAAGTTGGATCTCGGCATTGTTCTACTAAGACGATGCAAAGAAGTGGAGGTCCATTAGAAGTGATGAGTCGGCGGAGCCAAGAAAGGACCTTAACTCCATCAAGGCATGGGCATTGAAAAGTATATTAATAGTGAACTAGCCGAAATGTCACTGAACCATAATTCTTAACGTTAAGGTATATGCACGCCCACACCCGCTCTCCATACTTACTTACTGACTTTTTCTTGGGATCCCCAACTCAACGTACGCCACTGACCAGTATTTTGTAACCTACTCTGTCCTGGGCCTCCTTTTTCAGTTCTGTTTAATTGTTTTTCATTCTTCTCTCTCTCTCTCTCCATTTTTCGGAGTGAGGTATTGCTTGATCTTTTTTCTCCTTTCTCTACTAGGATCCCAAGTTAGGGTTTGCTTTATGACGCATTTAGGTGATTTTTGCAATGTGTATCCTATCCACCTCCGGCGTTTACCATCATTTGGAGGTGCCTGGCCAAAGAATCCGAAGTATTTTGCATAGACACCTGTTCATAAATACTTGTATCTTCTGGATGATGGCTTTAGTAGTTCTCCAAGTTTCCGCCCCATACAGTAGAACTGTCTTGACAATTGTATTGGAAATTCTGATTTTGGATTTTGTTGATATCTTTTGATTTCCAGCTGTTGTTCAGTCATAGAAATGCAGCCCTTGCTTTCCCGATCCGTGCCTCTGAATCCACCTTGCCCGTCAATAGTGCTGCCCATAAATGTAAAGGTACGTCCTCCAAGGCATTCCCATCAAGAGGGGTTTGGATGGCACATTTTGTGTTGCATCGGAGAATCTTACTTTTCCCTCTAAATATGTTGAGACCTAGTGCTGCTGAGGCTGCTGATGCACTAGTCGACTTCTGCTTCATTTGTTGTTGCTTGTGCGATAAAAGAGCCAAATAATTTGAAAAGTCCCGATGTGTTGTTGTGCTTGTCAACTGATATGCTTGAAACCATCACGAGTTCACCTTACTCAGTAAACTAAAGCGAAGGCAAATGATGCAGTGACACAATGGGCTATTCTGATTCGTTTGTCCCCGACCCTGATAACTAGATCGAAAGTCTTGATAAGGCGAAGAGAAAATACGAGGTTTACAAGAACACAAAGGTCCTTGGGAAGTCCACAAAAAAGCGTACTAAAATACTACAGAAACCAATAACAGTCAAGGTTTTCCAGGTAGAAAATGTACTCTCAAAGTCAGCTGATTAGCCCATGAGCGAAAACACAAAATCAAAAATTAGGACCCTTTCCGAGTTTTGGGCATCTAACGTCCTCAACATTGTCTACGCTGGCAAATGCTTTCTTTTAGTCGAAGTTGATATAGTGTGGTGAGTTCCATTCAATTGGCTGTTGTACGATGACCCGTAATGCTGCAACTTGGCCAATACACTACCGATTCTTACGAAATCCAGCTTCTTGATATCGAAGTTTGGCATATACACCCTGTTGAAGACTTTTACCGGTATTGAGAGAATAGTGATGCCTCTGTATTTCCCTCTCCATTGAGTTGATGGTGAAAGGCTCGAAAGCTGTTGCTGAGGGCTATCTTAAAGCCGTTGAGCTTTCCAGTATCCCGAAGAAACACCGTATTAAACTTTTGTGATGTTGTCTCCTATTCTGTTCGCTGTTTCTTGAGTTTCTAAATCATTTTGGCGACCAGCAAGTGGTGATCTGAGGCTGCACCAGCTCCTCTCTTGGTTCTCATATCTTCCATCGTCCTTCTGATCTTTTGATTGATGAAGAAATGGTTGGTTTGGTTCGGAGTAGTGTGATCCGGTGAAATCCATGTAGATTTATATTTGGGAACACTGTGCCACAGATGACCAGTTCGTTGAAGGCACATAGATCTGTATATCTGTCATCGTTTCCGTTCAGTTGTCCCAGTCTGTGTCTACTCGTGATGTCTTCACATCCAGTGTTGTCCTTGTCCACCATGAAGTTTAGGTCTCTCATCAGAACGGTCAGATCCTTAAATCAGCATCTCTCAACGATTGACTGCAGCTTCTCACAGAATTGGTCTTTAACGTCGTCACTGTAGTCGTTGTTAGGTGCATAGGAATGGATGACGTTCACTGTAATGCCCTCTTTCTTTGTTCAGAAGGATGCTTTAATGATCCTTTGTGCATGAGATTCCCATCTCAACTGGCCCTTTTGTGCTTATTTGGATGGCGTCAGTGCAACTCCTTGTGTGTGAGGCATTTTCTTCTTCATGACCGCAGTATGACAGCAGCTCTCCTGAAGCTGGTCTCAGTTGTCCTACTAGCGTCCAATGCGTTTAACTGATTCCAAGCCCCTCCAGGTTGTATCTTTTCATTTCTGCAGCAACTTGGAATAGTCTTCCGGTCTCCCATAATGTAGGAACATTCCATGTACCTAAATTAATGGTTGCTCTGGTTGTCAGAAGGAAAATCAGCATCGTTACTTCCGAAGGAACTCGTCTTCCATCATTGGACGCTTTAATTCGTCTAAATGAAAACCTTTTAACTCCCAGGGCGGAGTTCAACTGGTCTGATTTATTTTTCTGGTTATCGTTTTTTAGCGAGTTAGCTTTCTGGGGGATAGGGGCACCAATCCCTGCCTAATCCTTCTCCTTTATCCGGGTTTGTGACCGGCAGTAGCCCAAGATGCGATCCAGGCGAGATTTCCTCCCCTTTAATGGCGTAAAACATATCAGACACTCCAAACCATCCTAATGTGAGCATCTTACAGAAGCATCACCGCCACGCCCCTTGATGTAATCTTCACACAATTGCCCAGTTTGGTTGGTGCATACTTTTTCTCATTTGGAGTCGTTGCAACTTGAAATGCTTTCCCAGTGGAGGTGACCAAAGCCCTCTCAGTGGGCAGCCTCAAGAAGAGACTTGATAAACACGGACTCATAAATGGATTACCATCTCCCTCTTGGACAAGCTGTGCCTCATGCATGTCTTGAGATTTGTTAGTTGTTATTATTGTCATCTCTTCAGATTACTAACTTGATCTATCCCGCTTATAATCTCTGTTTCCTTCCGCTTGTTTACAATTCGGTCCTCGCAAACAATCTTCACTACCAATTACCTTAATTATCCATTCATATACTTTTTTTCTTTTTCTTAGTAGCATCAGAATTTTCTCCTTATTATTCCCCACATTGCAACTAACTGATTTCCAGGCTGTAATGTAATAGCTGCTGGTATCCAGAAACCCTACTACACTGAAACAAACGTTTTCATTCGATCTACGGGAAATAATCACAAACAACTGCAAACAGATTAGAATCAGTGTAATCGAGTGACTAGATTACTACTAGCTACTACTACTACTACTACTACTACTACTACTACTACTACTACTACCACTACTACTACTACTACTACTACTACTACTACTACTACTAAATACCCAGTACTGAACCGAAAGCTCAAGAATCGAACGGAAAGAAACGAATTAGTTTTTCCTAGATCATGAGAAAGACACTGATTATTGAATAAAAGTGTATACATACGATTTAGTTTGTTTGTACTGGCCAATCACAAAAGATATTTGCAAAAGTGTTTTTAAACTACGAACTATCGCAGACCATAAACCTCGGATTACAATACGACCTTGATGTGTTTTATTCACTAATACGGCGCTATTCACAACTTGCTTGAAATTCCGTAAATATTCCGAGTATTTTATATGGTACCTCCGTCAAAACGTAAGGTACTTAATAGACAGGTAAGTTTCTTAGAATAATCAAAAATGGATTTTTTCAGAAACCTAAACCTATCATAAAGTTACTGCGTTCTCGTGAGTTAGGTACAGGTCAATACATTGATACCGGTCAGATACCTGAGTCTTCATCAAAGTTTCCATTTGTGTGGCAAAGACGCAGTCTTAATCCCGGTTATAGAAATAAAATCTTTGCTTGTCAGTGGATTACAAATAATCATGTTGTCTACGGCACGAAATGTAACAATTTGGTTTTATACGACTGTACCTCAAATGAGAGCTTTGATATTCCTCTAATAAAACCAGCCATTTCGTACGATAACCATTATCTTAAAATGTTAATTCTATAGATATGCCAATCAAAACAATCCTTGTTCTTGTGGTATTCATTCCATTCAACTGAACACGTCGAAAACATTCCTAGCTACAGGTGGAGATAATGTCAACCATGTCGGGGTTTACAGACTGTCAGAATTTTCTCCTCACTGCTTACTGTGCGTAAGTTAAAAGTGGTGCAGTTAATTTTTATGGATTTTGTTTTTGAATATAATAGACCATATGATTTGGTGTCAGTTCACATCGCTGAATTTCGGTCGTCTTAAACAAGTTGCAGACTTAGCAAATTGAGTCTAATGTCACATACTGATAATGATGAAAGTCTAATCATATAGCTTTCAGCTAATCAGGATGAGGCAGATAAATAAATTATCTACTTCCTTAACCTTTCATTACCATTACCTTCGTCGATACAAAAGATTCTTGTACCCAGCTTTGAACCACTGTCTGTGTTATAGTAAGTCGTTACATCCCTGCTGCTGCACTAAAGTGGATATACAAATTTAAACCTGTTAGTCGATATTTGTATGACTCAACCATTAGGCTACCGCCGCCCGTTTTTTAGTTGAATGTTAAAGGTCTCTGAATGTACTATGCTGATCTATTTTATGATTCTACTAAGGAAAGCTAATCCTTCAGACCATGTACTTAGAGATATTTTTAAAAACAACAAGGTACTTTTTAACGCTTTTTATCATATCTGGTAAGTGAAATGTGTTGGTTACCCGGTGCAACTGATCATCAGAAGTTGGCGGTTGACTGTATACTAAGGCCATTCACTGAACATTCGAAAGTCGTTTTCAGTCAATCAATTACGCATGTCAGTTCAAATAACTATACCACATTAGCACACAGAGATCTGAGTATGAATTCAAATCCCATAGTGGTATAGATAGTATTGGCGGTAATATGGGAGATTGATGGTCGAAGATGTCATTCGAGAAGTATATCCCAGTGGAATTAACTCAAAAAGACAAAAAAGGTCATGAGGAATTCATGAGGTTAGAATATTAGAAGACAGAAAGGATGAGCCTGCGCCAGAAGACATGTGCCCTTACGTTTTATGAGCCGCGACACCTTAAGATCCACACATGTCTTCCCATTTTGCTTAATCTAACTACTTGGGTATTAAAATCACCTGCAACTATTATTGCATCAGATCGCTTAGCTTCTTGAAATGCGTTGGAAAGCTTTCTTTAAAATGCTTCTTTCACGTCGTCCGAGCTGCAGTCAGTGGGAACGTAGGCAGAGACAACGAAGAGGTAACGGCCAGTTTCCGTCTTTCCGAGTCCTTACTGTTTCGCTAAGTCGGACAGCGCATAGGCGACTGTCAGCTGGGATTCAGTCTAAGAGAGCTAGATCTGCCCTAGGACTTGATGCTATACTTACACCAGCAAGACCCCGGTAAGCAGCATCAGGACTTCCAGATACACGAAGACTAAATCAAGTCGGTATTTTCTTTTGGCAAGGCTGAATCAAATTAATCACTGTACTCGGTCTGGAAAATAAAAACTCCAACTTATAGTTTAGAGCGGGGTTTCAGGAGACCAGGAATAATATCTCGTGTACTTGAATCGTTTGCATCAGAGGAACGATATGACAGAGGAATGAAAGAAGGGTTAGTCGTGAAGATAAGAGAGGTTTTAGGCGGTGTAGGAAGGATTTGATTGTGACCGATTTGATCTCGTGCGCTTTAACGGGTATGAGGGCGGATGTCACTTCCCGCCTTCCCACACCGTGGATGCTTCTTGAGGAACCTGAAAAAGAAGTTGGGTTAGTGTTGGTCTTAGAGACCTGGGAGCGTGACCACAGGGCTTAAGATCTGTTTATGGGAGTTGTTTTCTAGAATTTTGACTTGTAATTCGTCAAAAATCAATCTGGACAATACTGCACCTTTTTGAATGTTAGTTAGTTCCATTCATTCTTACACTAAATGTAACTCAAAGCTGGACATGCAAATGTGTACATTATTACTGTATGTATCTAACGACACTCACATACTGTGTACTAGTTTGACATAAGGGTTTGAAAGGTTTTATCACCAAGTTCCACAGATTTAGCCTTGTTTACAAGTCGTTTTATACATTATTAGACAAAAATGTATTAATTTTATCTAACCGGCTGCGGATGTGTAAGTAATTGTTTTTATTCCATATTTGTAATTTTCAGGACTGCCACAACGATTGGGTTTTCGACTTGAGGTGGCTAGATGATACCTGTTTAGCCTCTTGTTCGCGAGATTCATCATTAGCCTTATGGCGTATTCCGTCTTTCACTGAATACATTCCTAAGAATGACAACAGGATACACCACAGTGTCGACGCTTTATCTGATTCATCTGTATTTCATATCCGACGCCCTATTGCATACACTGTATCTTCTACACCTGATGATCGTTTTCGTGCTTTAGAGTATCTTCCGATTCAGACGAGCCTTGCAGTTGTGTCAATGTCGCGTCGCTTATACTTATACGATGCTGTTCGTATGGGTTTGGATAAACGAACACGTCCATTTTACACTTTAGTTTTGAGAGATGCTTATCAGGTTGGTTTATTCCTATATTTTGAATTCGCCCTTGCGTTTATGAAATAAGTAAATAGCAGTTAGTAATACCTATAACTATACCGTTACTTATATATTGGATGACTGCATTTTATGCTGGACAAATTCAGTGGTTGTAAAATTGATTGTTTTATTTATTTATTAAAACACAAACATTGGTACAAAAAGGTACGTAAATATTTATGCGCCGCGCAAATTATTGAATTTGAGTGAGCCGAGATACTCTCCAAGTGCCCGAACCGAAGCAGATGGTTTTCTTAGGAGGACACGCTCGGAGCCTTTAACCTAAAAGTCTAATCCACAAGGTAGTGGAACAGCGCAAAGAAGTTCAGTATCATCGTAGCTGGCAACTAACAGTAGGTTCATACACCACGGTTCGTTCCACTAGGATTCAGTAGCTTATGTTCACCATTGGTTCCGAATCAGGGTTTTCAATCTTCTAGATGGATGCTGCATACTCACCGATCCGGTTAGAGCGTCGGGTATTTGCTGTTCGTCCTTACAATTCCTCAAACAACACCCACTGCCACAAGGAGATAGTGGGTAGGATTTCCCTGACAGAGGCTATACACGCGTGATTATATGTGAGTATTTTGAGAGTGATTGCAGACTCTCTGCTCGGCCGTAAGAGACATTTGGGGCCAAAAAATTAATTGAAAATAATAAGTTATGGAGGTCAACTTGATGTGTAGATTATTTCGTAAGTTTTACTTGTGATAAAAATGTTAAATCTATGGAGCAATGGAACGTCTACTTTCATGCCAAATGTTCAGGATTGGCTTGGATCGGCACTTGAACAAGTGTTAGAGGGTGCAGTAGTTGAGCTTGTTGATTGCCTCACTTTTGGAGTCTCATCAGTATTTATGGCCTGATGTTTGACTAAATCTCAGTACGTATACAAAAGGCTCGACTGGATTGAAGATACAATTCAAGAAGCACTATCCAGTGAAATAACTTTTAAAAGGAAATGACAGGTCACAAGGAATTCCGAAAATTAGATTTTGAGAGAAGACAAAGAATGTATGCAGCTGCATCATTGCAAGCAGGATTTCGGGGGGCGAAAAATTGATTAAGCGCATTGAGTTATGGAAGTCAACTTGAACCGTAAGATATGGAGATACGTTTTTAATGGGAACAATTAACACTGATTTGCCCGTATCTAATAAAGTCGATTATTTTGTTAACTTTTCTAAACAGATTTTTGATGAACACGTTAGATGTAGTGGATGCAGTGGAATGTCCATTTTCAATAGGTTTCACCTGGTTATTTATTTACTAAGATACATATTCATTTAAATACATATACATCACACAATAAAAATGAGATTATGAAGAGGCGGAAAAAAGAAGGTGAGTGTAATAAAAAAAGGACAAAAATAGATTGAAATTGGTGTATGAGAGTGGGAATAATAGGAGTAAAAATGGGAGAAACAGCTCAGTTAAGAAACTTCACCCAAAACGGTTCTTTTATCTAATGAAGTTCCTCTTATATGAAAAATATAAGAGAAAGTTACAACAGAATTGCCTCTGGATTCTATTCTAAGCCATATCTGATAGTGTCGCGAGCTAGTGTTGCTCCATCTCTAGGAGCTAAGATGATCAATCAGTAATACTTTGACTCCTAACTAGAGCTCATGAAGAGTAGACTCGAGAAAACCAGGGCGGTTTCAGACGTAGACGTGGATGTATAGACCAGATATTCACACTTTGTCAGGTCCTAGAACACTAACATATTCAGATGTCTCACAATATTTGTATTTCTCGATCTTAGATCGACCGTTGACTTCATCAGTCGGGACGTTCTGTGGGAGTGTCTGTCATTAAAAGAAGTACCACAGGAGTATATGAAGCTTGTACAGTCTTATACTCGAACACCACTGATCGAGTCAGAACTTATGGCAAACTGAATTTGTGATCGATTACCTGTAGTGGTGTCCGTTCAAATGAATAGATGAAGTATTGAAACTTCATCGGTTGAGGTGGTTGGGACATGCGCTACGTTTGCCTGACCACCGACTGCCTCGACGAGCTATGTTTTGTGGTGTAGGAGTAGGTTGGAAGAACCCTAGGGGTGGCCAAACCAAAACATGGCACAAATCCATGAAGTCACTGACAAGTGGACTGAGTCATGTTGGTAGATGTAGGCTACCTGGTTGGGGTTCGCGAGACGAAAGTCACCAATGGTTAGAGACCTTGAACGACATGGCTCAAAACCGTTTGCAATGGTGCAGGTGCATCTACTCTTTGTGTTCTCTCAAATTCTAACGTTCTGAATTCCTCACCATCTCTATCTTTCTCTTCTTAACTTCATCTCACTGAATAAGACCCTAATCTTCTGCATCACTGCTAATACTTCTACTATCACTACCACTATTGGATTTGAACTGACAGTTGCGTCTCTGTGCTAATCCGGTATGGCCACCATTCCTACTCAACCTTGTTATTGACGTGCTTTTAGGTTGACACTTTCATCGTCTGACTTTTCAGGGGTTGAAGTTCTAACAGGAGATACGCTTGTTGACTTAGAATATGCCGACTATATAGTTCTGTTTGGTGAGGACGGTGACAAAATGCGAAGTCTGCTGACCACCCTAAAAACAATGCAAGCATGTTCGGTATGCGATTCTCCTACTCGAAACGCAAACTGTTTCTCCGGGTTTGGCTTGTATTGGCATCTGAACTAGTGTTAGGGGGTACAGTAGTTGGTCGTGCCGACCGCGTCACTTTGGGAATCTCATCAGTACTGATGGCCTGATATCTGACAAAATCTCAGCTCAGATACAAAAAGCTCGACTGGATTTTACCAACTTGCGTCACCTACGGTGTAGGCGGGATATCCGTCTACTAACCAAAAGACGGACCTATTGCGCATCAGTTCACTCCATCTTACTACTACACAGGTGTGAAACATGGCCAGTCAGAGCAGAAGATACTTGTAGGTTACTGTATTTCGACCATAGGTGTCTTCGAAGCATCACTCGTATATCCTGGGACTATCGAGTAGGCAGTGGTGTTGTTAGGAAACGGGTACTAGGTAAGGATGAGAGATCGATTGATGAAGTAGTGAATCTCCATCAGTTGAGGTGGTTGGGACATGTGTTACATATGCCCAACCACGGAGCGACGTTATCTGATGTGCAAGCCTAAACATGGCACAAATAGATCAGATCACTGACAACGGGACTGAGCCATGTTAGTAGGTGTAGTACCTGGTTTTGGGGTCCTAGATACACTCGTAAGTGGTGTTTAGAGACCTAAATGACATGGCTCAAAATCGTTTGCGATGGCGCAGACACATCCATTCTCTGTCTTATCTCATATTCGAAGCTCATGAATTCCTCGTGACCTTTTTTGTCTTTTTGAGTTGATTCTACTGAGATATACTTCTCGAATGATATTTTCGACCATCAATCTCCCCTATTACCGCTAATACTGCTACTATCTATACCACTATGGGATTTGAATTCATACTTCGATCTCTGTGTGCTAATGTGGTATAGTGATTTGAACTGACATGCGTACGTAACAAGTTTAAAGTTGTAGCTGACCGTCTGACTAGCTTATTCCACTTCTTTTATAGTCAGTATTGCTTCCTAAAGCTAATGATTTCAGAATATGCGTTACTGAATCGCTTCTTCTTTTAATTAATGCGCATTATTTTGTCAGCTTTATAAAGATTTGTTATTAAGCTGCACATAGTTCAACCAGTCTTGTCCAAATTTTATGCAGTGCTCTAGGTCTTCAGATATTCATCTATTTGTAGGTTTATTTTTCTTTGCTGTTATGTTAACACCAAAGTGTTTTAGAGTTCATCTTTGTTGTACTGTAGGTTATGTTTTACATAGTTCAAGTTAGTTCGTTAAATAAAAAAAACAGAAATGTCTGAATAATAAGAGTGTGATGAAGCTAAAGCAAAGCACACAGCAGAAGCATAGAATATGCGGTTTCAAAATTGAAAATAATGCGTTCCCTTCCAAGTTTATAATTAGTTTTTTTTAGCTGTTTGTTAGTTTTTGACTGAATACTTCAAAGTAAGCAAACCTAATAGGAAATTACTGTGCTTCACTGTTTTGTTTGTTTTGGGTTTTAGTGTTTTTTTAAAGGCTTTTTTCGATTGTAGAGGCTCTCAGTAAAACGGTTGATTTCACTTTATTTCATATAACTAAAATTTATTGATTCCTCTGTTTTTTTAATTGTATTTTAGGAAGCTGTCGCTCTTCGCCGTTGGCCATCTGAACCGAATTGTATAGCACTTGCAACTCATCATTGTGTACTTTTGTTCGATATTCGGTGTTCTACAGCCAAGGTTGGAGCTGCGGCACGCTGTATACTACCTCCTTTAGATGTATCGGGTGTTAGATCGTTGAACTTTGCCGAATCAATTCTGTCTTATGGCACTTCCAGTGGTCAAGTACATTTTTATGACCTTAGAAGTGATAATCATTTACCAATACAATTAGACGTTGGCCCTGGTTGGTTGAAACCGCAAACATGTGATGAATTTGAAGTACCATCTGTTGTCTCTTCAGTTGGTTCTATTTCCAGGTCGGTTCCACAACCTCAGGCAACAGTTCCAAGTTCTAACTGGAATGTGCCTTCCCCACCACCTTCTCCCGCACATCCAGCTCTTTTGCCACGTCCTTTAAATACTGTTCGTCCTTCACAACTTCGATCTGAAGTCATTAACAATGTGCGTGTTCGTTTGGACAGAATTCAACATCTTTTGTCGAATTTACGTAGTCGGCGTAGTATGTCATTGGCTGCAGCTTTAAATACATATCCAGTTGTCGATAGATCAGCGTTTAACTTGTCGAATTATGCTAATCGTCAAAATGATACAAGTCAAGCAAATATCACTACAGAGGATGGTAATGATTCTTCATTATCTGAATCATACTTCCCAATCGATGATGACCTCCAGTCAACTACAAATACTGAAACTGCAACGCTGAATTCTATGGACAGTACTAATCAAAATTCTAGTGAATCAAATGAAATCAACTCCCCTTCTACTCATGTAGTAATGCCACGTTTACAAATTCGTGATCCAAATTTAGGACCTATTTTTTTAGGCATGAATTATTTTGCCAATATACATTCGGATTTTGTATCGTTTCCTACATTTTTCAATCAACGTCGAATGTTGGCTGTCTATACGCATGAATATGATCCGTCAGGTACACGTTTGTTCACAGCAGGTGGTCCAATCGCTTCTACATTTCATGGGAATGTTGCTGCCTTATGGGAGTAGTAAATTGTGTATTTTACTAGTGTACTAGTGTCTACTCTATTAGTCATTGTTTTTATCTTATCTATCATCAATGGTACGCGTGTACACATGTTCGTACATAATTTCAATTTTTATTGACCATTATTAGAATGTCTACTTACTACTACTACTACTACTTATACAATGTATTTCTCTTTTACTTTTACTTTTCATTGTTACAGATTTCTCTCCTTACTTGTGTTTCTTCAAATTTATGCTTTTATCTATTTTTTTTTCTGTTTATATATTTTCTGCTTCACTTGCTCACACACACAAAATAAATGTATTAATTATTATCATTTATTGTGGTAGGTTACAATTTTTTTTATTATTTGAATGTTTTCTATGCTCTGTCTACTACTACTACTACTAGTTGTAGTGTTTTGTTCATACTTCTGTGATTTCAACTTCAACTTAAACACAGTATTTTGAATTTTTGCATTCAAAGCCAAGCTAAGCTAAGCTCACCTTGTGTTGATACTTTTCCTAGGTTTTTCCTTTTTTTTTTTAAAAAAAAAATATTCCTATTTTGAATTTCAAATTAATTGCAATGTTTATATTATAAATGATTGCCAAAATAGTGTGTGAACTCAAGATTTTTTCTTTTTTTTCATTTCATTACCTGTTGTTTACCTATAATGTTTGCATCATTCTAGAAATAAGTAAGGTGGTGAATTTTATTTTGCAAAGTTTCCTTATATATACATATGCAATACAATACAACAAATACAAAATCAAAATTCTTCTGTATATATTTATGTACATACTACTTTTTTCGATTGATGATAAATAAATCATTATTTTTCTCTTGTTCATTTTATATTACTGTTTGTTTATATGAAAACTGTGTTTTTCCGTTGAAATTCAACTGATTAATTTTTTATCTATGGAATGTAAGTTAATTTAGTTCATGAACAAAAACTATTATTTCTCATCTATCACATCTATCGGTAACGTCAGTTTTTGATGTTTGAAAACAGTTTTAAGATATTAGTAATATAGAGTTGTGTCACACTAAACGGATTGTTTTTATAACTTGAATTGGAGATGTAATTCTGTAAAAACGCGTAAATCTTACACATCAGAACCAGGGAATGCAGTTATTAATTGTAAGTCACTTCAATGCCCTATAGAGAAATGTGCACCTGTTATAGGATGTGTTAGTGGGACGTGGATGGAATTGAAGCATGACTACGTTGCTGCGCGCTGATTGGCTAATTTCCTATCCAATCAGCGCCTGATCGATTTTTGGAGAACAGGGTAGAAAATTCTCGTATTGTTAGCTGCGTGCTGATTGGCTAAATCTAATCCAGTCGATCACGTGAATTTCTATCCAGAAGCTTCTCATGTAAATGCTATAAATAAACTAACGTTGTATCTATTTTCGCCTTCGCCATCACCTTTGGCTTCTTATTTCCATTTAACCTTGCTATTTGGAATATAATCTTCTTCCTGTTCCACCGTGTTTTTGATTGTTTGGAACTTGTCCAGTGTATTGTGTGGTTAGAGAATACTAAGCAATAGGATTTAGCTGGGCATCATTTAAGCAAACGTTACAACACGATGAGTAGTGCAAATCAGTAGAAAAATTCTCAATTATACAAAGGTGACTCAGTGATTGTACTGGGTTTTATTTAGCATGATAATTAAAGTAGATATCTTGCTTATTCTATGCGTCACTATTTACCATGATCATTGTTCTTTAGCTAAACAAGGATTAAACTAAAACATAAAATCCATCCATTAACTTATTAAGACTGATTTGGTTTTATTCATCTTGGAATTAAGACGTGATGGGACTTAATGGTTAAAAAGCACTTAATTAAACATGATCAGTTACAATGCAGTAATAGAAATCGCTTTATACTTTTCATCATTGCAGATCGGATCACTTGTTCTAGGATTATTTCCACATGTATATTGTAGTTCGTTTTACAAATATTACTTACTTACGTCTGTTACCCCCAATGGAGCGTAAGCCACCCACCAGTTTTCTCCAACCAACTCTGTCCTGGGCTTCCTTCTCCAGTTCTGTCCAATGTTTGTTCATTCCTCTCATATCTTTCTCTATTTCTCGGCGTAATGTGTTCCTTCGCCTTCCTCTTTTCCTTTTGCCTTGAGGGTTCCATGTGAGGGCTTATCTCGTGACGCATTTAGGCACTTTCCGCAATGCGTGTCGTTTATAAATATGGTCGCTCTAATTGATTGTATTTCTACAAAACTAGTTCAACATTCATTGGCTGGCTTATTATCATTGTTATTGAATTTTGTACTCTAGTTGAGTTATGTTTGTAAATAGATTTTTTAGACACATTTTCTGTTAATCTGGTAATTGGTTTCGCCAAACGTTTATTCAGGAAACATATGATTGACAGATGTTTAGTTTGTTAAATATTTATGCTACGTTGAAACTTTGTTTTGCTTTCAGCAAAATATTTTCTGAGTAATGGATAGTTATTTAGTTATAAGGCAAACTAATCTCCATTCTATTTCAAAGAAGCCATTAATATTTCAAAGCAGTTACATATTCAGTATTTTGTAAGGATAAGCAATCAGTCGTTACATTGCTATCGTGTTTTTCAACTAAACCTTTTTTTGAATGATTTGATAAAATATGTTAGATTGCTGTTCGATTGCTGTATTGATAGTAATTCGATTGTGTAAAAATGTAATTTTGTCACTAAAAGAAATCGATCGTAACAAATTTTGGCCGGAAAGCCTAGCACTGGATCCAAATTGTGAAGTTCTTTCCTTTTTGAGGTGTTGCTCTAAGGCTCTTTTGTCTTACAAATAAGTAGTAGTCTAACGTTTCAGTTTGTAGAATTCTTATCGAGTCATGTTTTTTTTTATAATTTTTGCCGCATGAAGTCGGTAAACTGTTTTAACATGGATTATTCGTAGGTTTGTAAATAAATGTCCACTTTATCGGATTAGATTTCAATGAAAGCTGATTGATTATGAGGTTGTATTGAGATATACGGATTTATTTGATTGATTTTGGATACTTGATAATTAGTTGCAAATCTGTTTTAAACAACTTAAACTATTTACTTGTTAGCAGTATTCTAGATTGGCATATTCTCGTGGGAGTGTTAAACACTACTCAGATCTCAAGAATCAATGCTTACGAATCTAGTGTGTTGGCATTGTGACAGCTAGAATAAGATTAGCGAAATAGTAGTTCTTTTTTACCCAATTTGTTAGGCAAACTTTACTGTTTAATCGTTCACGAATCTACAGTTAGTGAAGTAGAATTATTTCACTAGCGGAAATCAATAACTAAGAAATTTCTGTTGTATATTTTGTATTTTATGATTTTAATTTTACAAATTTGTGATTTTATTTCTATCCGCTTCATTCGTTTCATCTTGTTGATTGAATATTTGTTAGTTGGTAGTGATTGTTTACTGTCTTAGATGTGTTGTGATAACTTCTCTGCTTTCTTGTTTGCATTCATTCCGATTTTTCATCATACTTTTAAGAGTGAAAGTTACATAGATCCATAAATCTATATCATTTGGGTTGCATCGGCGAGTGTACTGCGCAGTAGTTCGCTCCGTCTTACTTTATGGCTGTGAAACATGGCCAGTGAGAGTAGAAGATATTCGTCGGTTACTGGTTTTCGATCATAGGTGTCTTCGGAGCATTGCTCGTGTGTCCTGGGACACCCGAGTGAGCAACGCTGTTATTAGGAAGAGGGTGCTAGGTAAGAATGGCAGATCAATAGATGAAGTGGTGAAACTTCATCAGTTGAGGTGGTTGGGACATGTGCTGCGTATGCCCAACCACCGACTGCCTCGACGAGCTTTGTTTTGTAGTGTAGGAATAGGTTGGAAGAAAGTTAGGGGTGGCCAAACCAAAACATGGCACAAATCCATGAAGTCATTGACGAGTGGACTTAGCCATGTCGGTAATTGTCGACTACCTGGTTGGGGTCCGCGAGATGATAATAATCGATGGTTAGAGACCTTGAATGACATGGCTCAAAATCGTTCGCAATGGCGCCGGTGCATTTATTCTTTGTGTTCTCTCAAATCCTAATCTTCTGGATTCTTCAACAACTCTAGTATTGCTTTCTAAACTTTTCTCACTGAATCATACTTGTTGAATAATATCTTCTAATCCTAACCTCTCCGATTACTTCGAATGCCCTTACTACCTGTTCTACTATTGGATTTGAATTGACAATTACATCTCCGTGCTGATGTGATATGGCGACATGAACTGATGTACTTACGTACGAAGTTCTACGTTTCATCTGACTGGCTGACTGATCATTTAGGTTTGGTGTAAACAACGCCATTTAGTCAACCAAAACAATTTAAGCCCTGACCATAGACATATATATTCCACTGAAGCTACTATTCTACATGAGCATAAAAAAAAGATAGAATTGATGAAATACACAGCTAATAAACAGAAGTATTAATAATAATGTCTATCATACTCAAAAACAACAATCTAACAGTGATGAATACAACTTGAAAAAGAATGAATATGTTAGTAAAAATAGATAGTGTGATTTCGTTTTAAAACTCAAGATCTAGGCCATAATAAATGAATACATCTATACACTTGTTATTGATTTTGAGCTATAGTACTTAAAGTGTTCAATCCTTTGATCACGTGAACCCCACCCTAGAAGTTTATACCTCACCACACACATCTCAATCGAAAGGTCATTGACTGATGCTGTGTTTTGGCTCGCTCTGTTGGGTATGTACTTTTGAAGTTTTTGTTTTAAATCCAGAATATAAACGCGAAATCATATGTAGTAGAATTTAGATTATCATAAAATCAATAGAAACATATTAGGACTGATTTCAGTAGTATAGTTACTTCCTTCAAACTGGTTTTTTGTTTTTCCCTCTCTCTTATAGCTACTTGTTCCCGAGCCTATTTTGGCATACTGATAAGTGTCATGTAAGCTTCGGTGATGGCACCACCTTGCGCATATTAGATACTCGAACTTAAATTAGGATGCTCAAGGTTTAAGCTGTGTTTCAGTGACTTTTAATTAGAGGGCTAGATAATATTTACTGGCTTCTTGCAATCGAGTTTGTTTACATTTTCTGACAAATGGATTTGATTACACGATTTGTTTTAGTTCTGTATAAACTTTGTCATACACTGGTCAAGTTTTGTTGGTTGTGGACTGAAGTTCAGTCACGATGCTGCTTCTTATAATTTCTCATATCAGCCAATTAGGAGAAACCGTCAGAATACCCTGCATGTGGATTATAAACTATCAAGGCTTAATTTGAAAGGCTTGATGAACTTGTGGTGTGTACTAATATTTGTCGAGTCTATAAGGCTTGTCCCAGCTTTTGAGCAAATCAAGTAATCCATTCTTCTCGAGCCATTCACACGTCTTTCGACCTTGTCAATTATTCACCTACCCTTTGGTTATCTTATTTCAGTGTGTGTGTGCATTGCCCACTTGGCTTACCACATGTCTAACCTATTTTGTCTGGATATAAATACTTAGTAAGTCTCATCAATTGTGTTAGCACACTCACCTTTTCCACTTCACTTCACTTCGCTTCGTTTTTACAGTTCTCTTTATTGTGTATCTTACGTGAATGTATGAAGTGAATTGATCCACAAAACCGTATTGAGTTTTCAAGTGCCGTCGTTGCGCGCAAACTGGGTTCGTCTGAGATAGATACGGAAATTAGATGAAAGATGTATTTCACTGAATATTCAGTTGTACGTAAAAATTGGAGTCATATTCCGGACCAATAAAAACTGTATTATAGATGTCAGCCAGATAATGGCCTAATTTTCGGGTTCCGCTCATTATAGTCTTATGATTGATTATGTGGAATAAATGGTCTAGAGGTTAGGTGTTCGCGCGCGAGATGGAAGGTCTTAGGTTCGGTTTCCGCTTGGGGGGGGGTCGTGACAGTCCCATGTCAGAACAAGACGGATGTCTAGAGCTTCCAGGTTCTCAATGGTGGTGTCTAACACTGGTCGTTTCATGATTTAAATGAAATTATCGATTAATGTTTGGTAATGTCATTTCCGATGCTAAATTTCTTGATTAACTATTCATTCATTTGGTGTTAGCTTAGTTTACACTTGGTTTCGATTATATTAAATTCATAATTCGATTATAATACTTATACAAATTCTCACGTATTTCATTTAACAGTTTGAAGAAAAAATGGCCAATTTTAATAGACCACCACCAATCAGATCAATGTCGCCAATGCTTCATCCTAGACCATTTCCAGGCGGTAGATCAATTCCATCGTTCTCTCAACCTGATCATTCTACATGGAATACTCAAGCATTACGAGTAATGCCTGTATATAGACCAACGCTGTCAACATCAGTAGGTGAGCAAATAGTCCCTCCGATTCCACAACAACAGTCATTATCATGTTGGTCAATTGTTGGACAATCCTTACCTACTCATTATCCTCCTCCTGCTCCTGTCGATTTTTTCCCTATCTCTCAACGATATCAAATTCCAAATTATGAACTTATGAAATCTGCTGTTAATTTTGAATCGATTTTAACTTCATGGTTAAATCATTATGAACCGATATTTATTGAACGAAGAAGACAATATAAAGAACAGAATAATATACAATTACCGGTTTATAGAAATATGTTAGTTAAATGGTCGGAGTTAATTCGAAACTTTCAATCTTCATTATCATCAATAGTAAGTTATCTTGATTTTTAGCGATATATTAGTCAGTCAGTCAGTCAGTCAGATGCAACGTAGAACTTTGTGCTTAAGTACAACAGTTCATGTCGCCATACCACATCAGCACAGAGATGTAATTGTCAATTCAAATCCAATAGTAGAAGAGGTAGTAAAGGCATAAGCAGCAGTCGGAGAGGTTAGGATTAGAAGATATTATTCAAGAAGTATGATTCAATGAGAAAAGTTTAGAAAGTCAAAACTAGAGTTGTTGAAGAATCCAGAAGATTAGGATTTGAGAGAACACAAAGAATAAATGCACCGGCGCCATTGCGAACGACTGTGAGCCATGTCCTTCAGGGTATCTAACCATCGATTATTATCATCTCGCGGATCCCAATCAGGTAGTCGACAATTACAGACATGGCTAAGTCCACTCGTCAATGACTTCATGGATTTCTGCCATGTTTTGGTTTGGCCGCCCCTAGCTTTCTTCCAACCTATTCCTACACTACAAAACAAAGCTCGTCGAGGCAGTCGGTGGTTAGGCATACGTAACACATGTCCCAACCATCTCAACTGATGAAGTGTCACTACTGCGTCTATTGATCTGCCATTCTTACCTTACCCGATTACTAATAACGTCGTTGCTCACTCGGGTGTCCCAGGACACACGAGTAATGCTTCGAAGACACCTATGATCGAAAACCAGTAACCTACGGATATCTTCTACTCTGACTGGCGATGTTTCACAGCCATAAAGTAAGACGGAGCGAACTACTGTGCAGTACACTCGTCCTTTAGTCAGCAAACGGATATCTCGCCTACGCCATAAGTGACGCAGGTTGGCAAAAGGCAATCGAGCCTTCTGTATCCGAGCTGAGATTTCGTCAGTCACCAGGCCATCGGCACTGATGAATCTCCCCAGATACGTGAAGCGGTCTACACGTTCGACTACTTCCCTCCCTATCACTATTTAGCGATATATATTAGTTTTCAATCGATCACTCCTAATCGCTTTCAAGTTCATGATTATAGGTCAACAAGTACTTGGTAATGGGGAAAATTGAGTAAAATGTTTTAATGACCATAACAAGAAAGTTTACACTTTTGTACACAACTCATATCAATAATTGAAATTATGAGTGGATCATTGTTAAAGCACTGTTAGAAATCTGAAATCATTGGACGGCCTTTTCGTCCTTGTATGGGTCTCATCATCGGTGCGAATCCACAACCTCGCCTCGCGGAATCGAACTCAGGGCCTTCGATCTCGTGCGAGAACGCTTAACCTGTAGACCACTGAGTTGGTAGCCAACGATGTTAGTGTCTAACTTTAATCAATCCAAGGGAATTGCGCAACCTGACCCATCGTCTTCGGTAGGTAACTGCCTACATCCAACAGGTTCGAACTCCACTCGTTACAGCTTCTCTCTAGAATTCTGAGAATTTCCTCACCAAGTCAATCTCTAGTGAGCATTTTTTTTTCACATAATTTCCATGAAACTCAATGATCTCCATATTTCTATAATGAAAAATCAAATTAATAAGTTTTGTCTTGATTGGTTTTTATGCCAACCGACATTCTTTGTTGAGTTTGAAAGCTAGTTATAACAGCTTTGCAGGCGACTGTCTACAAGTTCATTGACTGTGTGTCTAGTTACAAGAGAAATACTTTGGAAATACTCATGAAACCTATAATTGATTTAGTATCTTTATTGTCGTATTCCCTAATTTCCTCAAAAATAAGTATAACTTATCTGAGAGTGTAACATGCAATTCTCATGTCTTGCATGAAACTTATCATCTATCTGTTTATTGTATTTTTCTACCAATGAAAGAATAATTTTAATCATATTTATCACACATCAGAAGTCCTTCCACGGTCTGGGCAGCCGGGAAGTGATAACCGCCCTCATACCTGCAACAGCACACGAGACCAAATTGTTCAAAATCAAATCCTTCCTACATTCCCTAATACCTCTCTTATCTCTACGACTAACTCTTCTCACATTCATTTATTACAGTGCACAGCTAATGCAAACGATGCGAGTTTGCGAAACGTCGTTCCTGGTCTCCTTAAACCCCGTTCCAAACTACGTGTTGGAGCATTCAATGTACGGACATTGTGTCAAATAGGGCAACAGGCATCATTAGCTAGGACTTTAGAATCTCGTTCCATCGATGTGAAAATATGAAATGAAATTTCGAAAATAGTCATAAATGAATTTTATTTTATTTTTTTTGAAAAGTAATTTCCAATGAAACAAGAGTTATTTTTATCATTATTCCACAATCATTACTGCTTCTTTAACTGTTATCTGCAACAGTAATCAAAAATCCTTTATGGAAAACTTGGGGATTTTGTAATAATACGTAATTATAAAAAGCGTTGGCTTTTACCCAATATAGTTTGAATACGTTTGAATACTCTATATGAACAGCTAACGAACGAGAATAAGACGAATCAAAGGTTAATTTGAACACGAACCTCATCTAGGAGAACGAACGCAGAAACATCACCAATCTGTGACGACTGAGTCTCTGTTAACCAAATAAGCACATTGATTCAAATCTCCTTTTATGGATCGAGTACATATCTGACCTTCAGATTAGTCAGAGATCGTGTTTAGTAGATAGTCATAGTGAAGACGCTGACAAAATGCAGAGTCTTCTGACTGCACTAAGCAACAAAACAAGCATGTTCGGGATGCGGTTCCCCCCGTCGGAATGCAAAATGTTGCTTTAGGAGTGGGTTTGATCGGTACCTGAACTAGTGATAGGGAATGAAGTAGTCGAAAGTGTGTCACTCTTTGCTTGCACAGAAACTTACTTGTCTGTTCCAGGCGTTTTGATTTCGAAGCTAGGGGCGACCTAATCAAAACATGGCACAAATCCATGAAATTACTGACAAGTGGACTGAGTCATGTTGGTAGATGTAGGCTACCTGGTTGGGGTCCGCGAGACGAAAGTCACCGATGGTTAGAGACCTTGAACGACATGGCTCAAAATCGTTTGCAATGGTGCAGGTGCATCCACTCTTTGTGTTCTCTCAAATTCTAACCTTCTGCATCGAATTATACTTCTCGAATCATATCTTCGCTCCCTAATCTTCTCGATTACTGCTAATACTTCTACTATCGCTATCATTCTTGGATTTGAACTGACAGTTATGTCTGTGTGCTGATGTGGTATGGCAACCTGGAGTGATGTACTTATGTACGAAGTTCTGAGTTGTATCTGTCTGTCTGTCTGTCATAGTGAAAAGTACAAATGTATCGTCTTTGCGAATATTAAACTTATCGCATTGCATTCATCCATATATCACTGCCTACAATTTAAATCATTCCCTATTAATGTCCAGTATTAATGGAAGTAACAGTTATCATTCACCATTCACTCTCAATTAATAATACTATCCCGGTTTACTAATGAATAGAAATTGTTGGTTACCAGACTGATTAATATTTGGCTATCCTCTTAAAATTTATACTAATTAAATATTGCAAAACTATCACTTATAATTAAATAATCTAAATTAATCTTAGTAATGTTATTGCTTTAATTTTCTGAGTTGCATAGTGAAACGTATTTTTGAGAGTTAAATACTCTTGAATAGAAGGATTAAGTTGTTAGAAATTAATGTTAGTCGCTAAAATAATTCGATGACTCGTTGATTTTCTTATGTTTATTAATGCAGATTTTAATCTTGATCATTCGTTCACTTACTCGCTCGCTCTTCAGCACTTGCATTTCGTTTTCTCTTTATGTGCCTGTGGTGCCATAATAAACGTAGTCAACGTTTCGTATTCGTTTTCTGATTTATATGCCGTTGTGCGTTATCTAGTAACGGTTATCAGGACGAGCAGTATACGAAGTTTAAGAATATATCCAATACTGACTGCCACAGAATTGGTGAACCTGACGACGAACATAACTCAGCCAACATAAGTTGGTGTGCCTTGACTTAGAATGCAACGCACCTACAAGCAAATCCTTACTTTAAACACTGCTACTCGAACGTTTGAAGATCTAAGCTGTTCGTTTACTCCCAGGCATTAATAAATTTATTCTAGCAAGTGAAGTGGTTAAAATATTTGACAACTCTACCTGGAGTCCGTTTAGGGTTATGGACTGTCCAAAGCTTTGGAAAAGTAGGAAGGTTGGGCATATGATGTTATGTCCTTTACACGAACGAATGCGCAGACGACCTTTGATTAAACAGTATGCAACAAGGGCAAGAGACTTGTTACTCAATGTTTGAGGAACGACCCAATTCCAGCTTGCCCCAATCAAAGAGGTGGAACGAAGATCAATGACCACCAGTTCAAGATCCAGATATTCTTTTATATTCATACAAAACCAGACCACATCGCACCGATACATGGGCAAAGTAAATTGTATGATAGTTTATAGGTTGGTAGAAAGTATATGATATATATATATATATATATATATATATATATATATACCTGCCATCTAACTGCGTCACAAGACAAGCCCTCACATGGGACCCTCAAGGAAAAAGGAAAAGAGGAAGGCCAAGGAATACATTACGCCGAGAAATAGAGAAAGATATGAGAGGAATGAACAAAAATTGGACAGAACTGGAAAGGGAAGCCCAGGACAGAGTTGGTTGGAGAAAACTGGTCAGAGGCCTATGCTCCATCGGGGGTAACAGGCGTAAGTAATATTTACCTGATAGTCTAGTTAATTAATAATTATCTCATTAGATTATATACATCAGTAGTCCTTAAATTGGTTGTAAAAGTTGCTTTCTACTCCAATCTTCATCCCGATATAACAGGATTAATAACTCAAACTAACTGTTCGCGTACATCAACTCGACATGTTTTCATCGCTTGTCTCTCCGATCTTTTATAATTCTTTCCGTTTTTTTTAAATTCAGGATGAACTAAATACTGTTCAACAATATTGTACAGACCCACATATTATTAATTTGGTGAAAAAGAAACTTCGTTTAATCCAGAAAAAAAGAGTATGTCCAAAATTTGTCATTTCATTATTGTCCTTATAATTTTTGCTTGTTAATTGTAATGTACATGTAAATTTTGCTGTTGTTTGTACTCTGCCCTAGTTGGTTCTTGCTGATGGTGTCTGAACAACGGATCCTCACTATCGTGCGTAGACAGCTACTAATAAACATCTGTGTCTTCTGGATGATGGTTTTTGTGGTTCTCCAAGTTTCCGCCCTATACAATAAAACTGTCTTGACGTTTGTACTGAAAATTCTGACGTTGGTGTTGGCTGACAGAAAGTTGTTTTGAGTTTTAGATGTTCTTCCATTGAAGAAATGCTATCCTTGCTTTTGTTTATCCACACCTTCACATTTGCATCAGATCCTCCTTGTTTATCAATGATGCTGACTAGATATGTAGAGGTTTCCTCATCCTCCAAAGCTGCTCCGTCAAGTGTGTTTTGGTTGATGCATGCTATGTTATGTCGGAGTATCTTGTTTTTTCCCTTGTGTATATTTTGACCTACTGCTGCGATACCCGTTGTCTTCAACCGCATTTGTTGTTGTGCGGAATAGAAGAACTAGATTATCTGCGAAATCCAGATCGTCCAGCTGCATCTGAGCTATCCACTGTATCCCATGCTCCCCCCCTCAGATGTTGACGTCTTCATAATCCAGTCAACCACCAGGAGAATGAGAAAGGGTGTGAGTAAGCTTCCTTGCCTGAAACCGGTCTTCATTTGGAACGAATCTGTGAGTTGTCCTCCATACAGGATTTCGTATGATGTTTACTATCTTCTCAGACGTCTTTGACACCTAGTGTCAAAGTATTCCACTAAGTGAATAACTAAACTATTTTGAGGTCAAATGAACAACTGACAAGTCGACTTACTGACATAATATTGGTACTTAATGATTTGTTTCAACTCACTACCATTTATTTAGTATTACTAATCAATCAATAAATAAATAAATATATATTAAGAACAGAAGCAAATGACATAAATTGGTAATTGTCAATGTAAGTGATACATTTATCCATACAGCAAGTACATTATGGTTTTCAGACAGACACAACGCAGAACTTCGTACGCACGTAAGTACATCAGTTCAGGTTGCCATACCACATCAGCACAGAGACGTAAATGTCAGTTCAAATCCAAGGGTGATAGCGGTAGTAGAAGTATTAGCAGCAGTGGAGAGAAGATTAGGGAGCGAAGATATGAACTTAGAAGGAGAAAGATAGAGGTGATGAGGAATTCAGAAGGTTAGAATTAGAGAGAACACAAAGAGTGGATGCACCTGCACCATTGCAAACGATTCTGAGCCATGTCGTTCAAGGTCTCTAATCATCGGTGACTTTCGTCTCGTGGACCCCAACCATGTAGCCTACATCTACCAACATGACTCAGTCCACTTGTCAGTGACTTCATGGATTTATGCCATGTTTTGGTTTGGCCGCCCCTATCTTTCTTCCAACCTACTCCTACACCACAAAACAGCTTGTCAAGGCAGTTGGTGGTTAGCCATACGTAACACATGTCCACATTATGGTTTTCGATAAACTGTAATATCAGTTTTAATCGGTGATGAAAATAATTATTTCTTCGTTGTTTACATTGTTGTTTCAATCTAATCCTATGCATTATAATACAACGGAACTCATTTCTAATGAAATGATTGATTTGTTTTAAACATCATCTTTCAAATAAATAAACATTATTGTATACTGTGGTTAGTAAACTAAGGTCATTAGTGACTTTTTTTAGTAAACAATTAGTGAATTCTGTCGCTTGCTTTCTTCTACTTTCTTCCCTCCTCTCTCTCTCTCTCTCTCTCTACATCGATGTGTATTCCATGAAAAACATAAATATTAAACACTATGTACATATTTCTTGCATAGGCTACACACCTACAGGATGGAGATGTTTTCTAAATCTATTTTTTTTTATTGTTCACGGTATTTCACATGTTATTTTTCCTAACATATGATTTATTCATTGTATGAAGCTTTTTTTTTCTTCACTATCATTCATCAGTTATTGTTGTATGGTGATTAGTTTGAAATGTTTCCAGTTAGAAATGGATTTATCAGCAAAATGAACCATATTTAGTACCTGAAAACTGATGATATACAATTTAGCTGCTTACCTACTTACTTACTGAGCCGTGTTACCCCCAATGGAGCATATGCCGCCGACCAGTATTCTCCAACCTGCTCTTTCCTTGGCTTCTCTTTCCGGTTCTTTATAGTTTTCGTTCATTCTTCTCATGTCTTTCTCTATTTTTCGGCATAATGTGTTCTTTGACCTTCCTGTTTTCCCTTGATCTTATCTTGTGACGCAGTTGGGTGCTCTCCGCAATGTGTGTCCTATCCACTTCCACCGCTTGTTCCTGATTTCCTCCTCCACTTGAATCCGGTTTGTTCACTCCCCCAGTATGTTGTTGCTAATAGTGTCAGACCAACAGATCCGAAGTGTTTTGTGTAGACAACTGTTAATAAACACATGTATCTTCTGGATGATGGCTTTGGTAGTTCTCCAAGTTTCCGTTCCATACAGTAGAACTTTATTGACATTTGTATTGAAAATTGTGACATTAGGTGTTTGTTGATAGTTGTTTTGAGTTCCAAATGTCAATCAGCTGTAAAAAAGCAACCCTTTCTTTTTTCGATCCGCGCCTTCACATGTGCATCGGATCCACTTTGCTCGTCGATGATGCTGCCCAAATATGTAAAGGTTTCTACATCTTCCAAAACTTCACTGTCAAGTGTGATTTGATTAGTTCTTGTTGTGTTGTATCGGAGAATTTTGCTTTTACCTTTATGTATGTTGAGACCTACTGTTGCTGAAGCTGCTACTACACTGGTCGTTTCCTCTTGTATTTGTTGTTGCGTGTGCGATAGAAGAGCCAGATCATCAGTGAAGTTCAGATATTCCAGATCCATCCTAACTGTCCAATGTATACTATGCTTCCCTCCAGATGTTGACGTCTAAATAATACAGTTGATGTTGATTGCTGCCTTCTTGTTCCTCCTTTCTTGAATTTTATTAAGAGTACCAACAGATATCTATCCCTTATGATGATACTTCTTGTGACTCAGAACCTCCTGACATGTTGAAGTGATTGCCTCATTGATCTGCTTCCAATTGTTCTCCATGTTAGTTTCTTTCCCATTCAGTAGATCGTAAATAAACCTGGAACCTGAGGGTTGAGGGCTACATTGAATTCGTTTAGCGTTCCAGCATCCCGAAGGATGTGATGTTGTCCGCCTCGTTGTCCAGTGCTTTAGCTGCTTATAAGAGATTAATTTAAAACAATATTTAGAATATATCACTATGATGGATTTATGTAGAATGCAAGCATCATTATTCAAAGATGTTTAGTTATAATACAAAATGCTCAAGTAAAGAACACTATCAACTTCAGTAGAACTTGTTTTGCCTACCACGAATATCGTATAATGATGATTAATGCCACTTTTTATCTGACTAGTCCAGTGCGTTTACAGGTAAAAAAACATACACATTTATTCAGTTTGTTTGATAAATCTTTAATACATTACGGGGTTGTGGAGATTGTTAAGTTACACATTTTTGAAACCATGAATCGATCAATGTTAGACCACCATTAGAAACCTGGAAGCACTGGACGGCCGTTTCGTCCTGATATGGGACATTAACACCGTTAGATACCGGCCCAGTGGTCCGATGGTTAGGCGTTCGCCTACAATACCGAAGGCCCTGGGTTCGAATCCTGCGAGGTACAGGAGTCGTAGATGCGCACTGCTGAGGAGTCCCATGTCGGGACAAAACGGCCGTCCAGTGCTTCCAGGTTTCTAATGGTGGTCTAACATTGATCGATTCATGGTTTCAAAAGTCTTTATTAATTGGAAGTAGTTACCCCTGATTTCCATCCTTCCTTGTCTCCTTTTGATTGATTTTATTTCTTGACATTTTGTTACAAGTTCTTGAAAAAGTGGAAATGATTCTACTGTTGAATAGGAATTTTTTAGTTTATTAGTTAATTCAAATATAGTACTACTAAATTAAGAAAAAATAAAGCAACTGAGTAGTATCATTTGATTTTCTCAGCCCAAAGTCATGATGTACTACTTATATGAGTTTCCCGTTTTTTTGAAACCATGAATCGATCAATGTTAGACCACCATTGGAAAGCTGGAAGTACTGGACGGCCGTTTCGTCCTGGTATGGGACTCCTCAGTAGTGCGCATCCACGACTCCTGCACACCACAGGATTCGAACCCAGGACCTTTGGTATTGCGCGCGAACGCCTATCGATCGGACCACTGAGCCGGTATCTAGCGGTGTTAATGTCTAACTTGATCAATTGACGGAGTTGCGCAACCTCATACACAGTCTTCGGTAGTTACTGTCTACACCCGAACAGGTTGAACTTCACTGGTCACCTCTTCTCACAAGAACTCGGAGAAGATTCCTCACTAAGCTTGTCACTACTGAGCACAGGTAATTTGCATTACGGGGTTGTAAAGATTGTTAAGTCACACATTTTTTGAAACCATGAATCGATCAATGTTAGACCATCATTAGAAACCCGGAAGCACTGACAGACGGACGTTTCGTCCTGGTATGGGACTCCTCCTTTTTTTTTAATTCAGACGATTTGTACAGTTAGCGTAGAATATTTAATCTCCAATTATAAGTGCCATATTGCACAAGGATATTTCACCTATTGTATAATACAACCACTGCTTTTTTGTGAAAATAAAGGTAGTATTACAGATTGAATAGTCATGAAACTGTGTAACCATAATAGTAACGGTACAATTTTTAAATGAGTCTGTAGTGCACTGTTTTGTTGATGTACGGCGTTGGGATTTCCAGTTAGTGGTTCTGTTCAATTTGTCTTCGAGATTATCAACTGGTTGGTTGTATTCGATTTATCGTCAAAATTGTCAAATTAATCCTGGAAACGTCGGACTCACCATTTGTAGTGTGTCGATTTACTGCGTGTTCTTAAGCTTGGTAATTAGCTCGTCTAGACAGTCGTTACTAACTAGTATCTGACGGTTTATAAATCAGAAGGTGAACTCGAAGTGTTGAATACGTTTTCTTGGGAGTCTCATCAGTGCCGATAGCCTGGTGACTGACGAAATCTCAGCTCGGATACAGAAGGCTCGATTGGCTTTTGCCAACCTGTATCACTTATGGCGTAAGCGAGATATCCGTTTGCTGACTAAAGGACGAGTGTACTGTGCAGCAGTTCGCTCCGTCTTACTTTATGGCTGTGAAACATGGCCAGTGAGAGTAGAAGATATTCGTCGGTTACTGGTTTTCGATCATAGGTGTCTTCGAAGCATTGCTCGTATATCGTGGGACACCCGAGTGAGCAACGCTGTCGTTAGGAAACGAGTACTAGGTAAGAATGGCAGATCAATAGATGAAGTAATGAAACTTCATCAGTTGAGGTGGTTGGGACATGTGCTGCGTATGCCGAACCACCGACTGCCTCGACGAGCTTTGTTTTGTAGTGTAGGAATAGGTTGGAAGAAAGTTAGGGGTGGCCAAACCAAAACATGGCACAAATCCATGAAGTCATTGACGAGTGGACTGAGCCATGTCGGTAATTGTCGACTACCTGGTTGGGGTCCGCGAGATGATAATAATCGATGGTTAGAGACCTTGAATGACATGGCTCAAAATCGTTCGCAATGGCGCCGGTGCATTTATTCTTTGCGTTCTCTCAAATCCTAATCTTCTGGGTTCTTCAACAACTCTAGTTTTGACTTTCTAAACTTTTCTCATTAAATCATACTTGTTGAATAATTTCTTCTAATCCTAACGTCTCCGACTACTGCTTATGCCTTTACTACCTCTTCTACTATTGGATTTGAATTGACAATTATATCTCTGTGCTGATGTGATATGGCGACATGAACGTACGAAGTTCTACGTTGAATCTGACTGACTGACTGTTAAATACGTTTATTTTTGACACACCTTAAAGCGAAGCGGAGAAGCAGTGAATCGACACACTACAAATGGTGAGCCCGACATCAACAAAATCGGCCACCATAACTCAATTCCTAGCCAATTGGTTTATACATTCCAAACAAAACTGCTTCACTTTGCACACTGTGTAAGAAAGTATCTCTAATTTACATGATAAATTAAGCAAGAATAAGTTGTTGTTTTTTTTCAATTTATATTCCAACGGATTGAATTTTTTCTTGTTACAGCGTTATCTTAAACGTTTACGTGATCGTAGACAAAATTCACCAGTAAAATCATCAATTTGTCCTGTCATTGTACAATCTACCACTGGTAGTATACTTGAACGTTTAAAAGCAGACATAGCATTGACCAGTGAACAATGCAGCGTTCATAATCAACAAGAAATCAATACAGATAACATTGCAAACAGCATTATTGACAATGAATCAAAATGTCAACTGTAAGTTGTGTTGATCGTTTGTAAATTAATTCTTTTGAAGCTTACTGACGCCATTTTTCTTGTTCAGTTTATATATGTGCATGTATATGTGATATGTATTCTATCCCATACACAACAGCAAATGCGGTTGAAGACAAGGAGTATCACAGTAGCCTATTCAGCAGTAGACCTCAACATACACAAGGTAAAGGACAAGATCCTCTGACACAACATAACATACACCAACCAAATCATACTTGACAGAGAAGCTTTGGAGGATGAGGAAACCTTTACTTATGTGGTCATTATTATCAATAAACAAGGTGAATCTGATGCACAGATGAATACATGGATCTAATAATAGTAACCTGTAGTACATTACTGAATATAATGTCTGGATTATAAGGTTGTTTAGTGAGCAATATTTCTGCCTCCGATCTTCTTCTTTTCCTTTCACTTTGAAGATCCCAAGTCAGGTTTTTCTTTGTGACGCAGTTGGATGATTTTTGCAGTGTATGACTTATCCACCTCCAGCGTTTTTCATCAGTCGGTTGTTACTCATAGTGTCTGGCCAACGGATCCTCAGTATCGTGCATAGACAACTGCGAATAAACTCCTATATCTTCTAGATGATAGTTTTCGTAGTTCTCCACGTTTCCGCCCTCATACAGTAGAACTGTCTTAACGTTTGTTTGTTGGCATATGTCTTCATTTCTTCCTGTTTCTTGTATGTTTCACGACATATCAGACTTGATGAACAGGGGATATAACAGTCAAAGTAAATGCAAATATGTTCGTTCATTGATTTAACAATAAATATATATGATCATTTTCACGTAATCAGTTTCATCCTGTTCATTTTTGATTTTATCAGCATTATTTAGTATTTCTGAGTACTTCTTTTGTTTTTTTACATGTGGTCCAGTATTTCATTCTATACATATTTTTAAAAATCTTTCTTGCATTCAGTATACTATACCCATTTGTGTTTTTTTTGACGAAAAGTAATCATTTATGTAGGTGGGTGTTTTTGTCTATTAAGCTTTCATGTAGTTCATAGGTGATCTCCTCCGTCAGTTGATGTCAGTGTACAGATGTAAATTACAGTCAAGAAAAACAGAACAGATTGACATTATGATACGTTATGTAGATTTGTCTTGGTATACAATCATGAAATCTAGTTTTAGACATTTACATATATATATATATATATATATATATATATATATATATATATTCAATAAATCATAATAAATGACCGAACATCATCATCATCCTCTATTATTAAACACATAGTGTAGTGAAAGAGAACACAGGTGGGGCAACCGAATTGTATTTAACGAAAAATTACACAGTTACTCAGTAAAATTGGAAAACCATATCGTAAATCGTTAATTTGCAAAATAACAGTTCATCATATCGAACTGGACTGTTCCTGTTGCAAAACATCAATCCATTGTCACTATTCATGCGTTTCATACAAATTCCATTGTTTTCTAACTCTTCCTTTCTTGATCTTCCCCCATCTTCGGCTGCCAGACATTACGTTGACACTCACGTCATATACTACTTATAAGTAGCTCGCACCACAGCACCACAATAGGATTGATCTTAACTCAACTTTTGTCGTTGTGGTGGTGGTGTTGTATAAAAGTGTTCAAGGGCTATGCAAAAGTTTAAACTCTGTTTATCTGTTAGAAAATAGTTTGTTCCCACCCTAAAATTACCTTATTAATATTGTGGTGAGTTTCACATTGTTTTATTTCGTTGTTTTCTCTCATGCTCCATTAGTCCAGTTGACCCTTCATTTTTGCAATGTTCTTATGTGATCACCCGACCGTAGGTGCAACATTGATGTGGTGGTCGTGCTTGCCTATCGTGATGACTCAACTGAGTTATATTGGATGGAACATGTGTGCCTGTATGTTCAACCATGCTAGGCAGGTCGATTGGAGAACAGTAAGACTAAAAGCAGTTACTCAAGGTCTGAGGGCGAAGTCGTACTGCTGACTGTAGGGAGGTGTGACAGCAATAAAGTGTTTCCCTTGGACAACCAGCATCGGCAAACATGCTGCCTTCTCAGAAGGAAGGAAGGGTTAGAATAGTTGGACCCTAAAGATGTCACACCTCACCTTACTCGACGGATTTCCGTCTCCGGTGGTAAGACCGTTTGAAGAGCGGAGCTAAAACTTTACAAACTTCTCATCAAAAGGCCGTGCGTGACCGGCCTGAAGCATTTGTCCGTTGGGCTCTCTGGTCACGCTTCCAGATCTCTAAGACCAACACTAATCCAACGTCCCGTTTAGGTTCCTCAAGAAACACCGTTCCACGATGTGGGCAGGAGAGAAGTGACATCCGCCCTCATACCCGTAAAAGAAACGAGATCAAATTAGTCACAGTCAAATCCTTCCTACACCTCTTAATAACTCTCTTATCTTTCCAAGTCAAACGATCACATTGAAAATGTCAAAAATCAATAATTCAGTCAAATTATTATTTCTTTTTTCTCAATTCATTTTCTTTTTAATTAGGTCTAATACACATCAAAAAACAATCAACAATCCTCATCCTCATCACCATCATCATGATTATCAAGTGAAATTCACATTACGTAAATCTATTGATGAATGTCAAACACGTTTAAAACTACTAGACAATTTACAACAGTTACGTTCAGCGCGATTATTACAAGCTAAACAACAAGGTAATTAATTCTATGTGATATAATAGAGAAGGCAGGGAAAAATAAATTGAGTCTTGTTGTAATTTCTTGACAATGTCCATGTTGTGTAAGGCTTGCTTAAATAATTCCCAGCTAATTCCTATTGCTTAGTATACTCTGACCACACAATACACTGGACAAGTTCCAAAGAATCAAAAACACGGTGGAACAGGAAAAAGATTATATTCCAAATAGCAAGGTTAAATGGAAATAAGAAGCCAAAGGCGAAGGTGAAATAGATACAATGTTAGTGTCTTTATAGTTTTTACATGAGAAGCTTCTGGATAGAAATTCACGTGATTGACTAGCACTGATTGGATTAGATTTAGCCAATCAGAGTGTAGCTAGCAACACGAGAATTTTCTAGCCTGCTCTCTAAGTATGGGCCAGGCACTGATTGGATAGGAAATTAGCCAATCAGCGCGCAACTAACACAGTCATGCTCTAATTCATCTATGTCCCACTAACAGTCCACAAGGTAGTAGAACAGCGTGAGGAAGTGCAGTATCATGGTAGCCTGCGACTAACCGTAGGTTCATACGCCGTTCACTGCACTAGGATTCTGTAGCCCATGTTCACCATTGGTTCGGAATACAGGGTTTTCAATCTCCTAGGTGGATGCTGCATACCCACCGACCCGGTTAGATTGTTGGGTATCCGCCTTTCATCCTTCCAACTCTGGAAACAAGGAGGAAGTGAGTAGGATTTCCCTGACAGTGGCAATACACGCGTGGTCATATGAGAGTATTTTGAGAGTAAGAGTAGACCCTCTATTCTCAACCGTACCAGAGCATTTGTGGGCACTAATGTTTATGATGTGCAATATCTCATGTTCTAACTGAATCCTATTGAAAAATGTAATATATCGCAGAGTCGTTTCGTCTATCAATGTCTTGATTTGAATTTTCGTTGTTGTTGTTTGTAAGATATCGCTAGATAGTTAGTTATAACCGAGTAATAACAAAATATCTCATAATCTATGACATTTGTTAAGTTATCATGAAATTACTGTTTCTAATATCTTTAAGTTGAGCGCCACAGCCAATTGTTCAATGGATATTTTAAACTCTGTAGTGAACATTCAAATGTATTAATAATATGAGGTTCATTTCAGACTATTATTATTATTGGTATTTCTCAATCAGAGAAATGGTTTTCATTCATTTAGCCATTATTTTTAATGTACAGATAATTGTATCTTGCTTATAACTTGTAACTTTTTTCAGATTTTTGCATGAATAAACATAGCGTTTTTTTTAAAAATTTTTCGAATCTATGCATTTTAATGACACTGGCGTAATATTTAAATATCCATCTAATTATAACTGAAGTAATATTACGTGATTCATGAATCCAAACTTAACCGAATTGAATAAGTAATTGTCTCACAACAAACCATCCATTGGCCGATCGGTAGTTGACAATCAACTAATTGATTAAACTGACCGGTTACTATTCAATTACAGTTTATTTGGTCTGGACACATTTCATCCGTAAGCGAATATAGTGTTCAGAGTCAGTCAGTCAGATGCAACGTAGAACTTCGTACGTAAGTACATCAGTTCATGTTGCCATACCACATCAGCACAGAGATGTAATTGTCAATTCAAATCCAAAAGTAGAAGAGGTAATCAAGGTATTAGAAGTAATCGGAGAGGTTAGGAATAGACGATATTATTCAAGTATGAGATAAGTTTAGAAAGAAAAATAACTAGAGGTGTTGAAGAATCCAAAAGATTAGGATTTGAGAGAACACAAAGCATATATGCACCGGCGCCATTGTGAACGATGTTGAGCCATGTCATTCAAGGTCTCTAACCATCGATTATTATCATCTCGCGGACCCCAACCAGGTAGTCGACAACTACCGACATGACTCAGTGCACTTGTCAATGACTTCATGGATTTGTGCCATGTTTTGGTTTGGCCGCCCCTAGCTTTCTCCCAGCCTATCCCTACACTACAAAACATCACTCGTCGAGGCAGTTGGTGGTTAGCCATAAGTAACACATGTCCAAAGCACCTCAACTGATTAAGTTTCAATACTTCATCTATTGATTTGCCATCCTTACCTAGAACTCGTTTCCTAACGATAAAATTGCTTATACGGTTAACCCAGGATACACGAGCAATGCTTCAGATACACCTATGATCGAAGACTGGTAACCTGCGAACATCTTCTACTCTCACTGAACATGTTTCGCATCCGTATAGTAGGACAGAGCGAACTGCTGCGCAGTACACTCGTCCTTTGGTTAGCAAACGGATATCTCGCCTACGCCATAAGTGACGCAGGTTGGCGAAATCCAATCGATCCTTCTGTATCCGAGCTGAGATTTCGTCAGTCACCAGGCAATCGGCACTAATGAGACTCCCGAGATAAGTGAAGCTGTCTTCTATTTCGACTACTTCACTCCCTATCACTAGTTCAGGTGCCGATGAAACCCAAGCTTGAAGCAACATTTTGCATTTCGGCGGGAAAAATCGCATCCTGAACATGCTTGTATTGTTGCTTAAGGTAGTCAGAAGACTGCATTTTGTCAGCGTCTTCACCAAGTAGGACAATATCATCGGCATATTCTAAGTCGATAAGCGAGCCACCTAGTAGAAGGTCTACTCCAGAAAATTCAGACGAGGATAAGGTTATTTCCGAAAGCATGTCTATGATAAAATTAAACAGGAATGGGGAGAGTGGACACCCCTGACGGACACCACTTGAAGTAGAGAATTCCGGTGACAGTTCGCCATAAGCTCTCACTCGACCAGTGGTGTTTGAGTAGAGAGCTTGTATGAGGTTAATGTACTTCTTTGGTACACCTTTCAATGACAGACACTGCCACAGAACCTCACGATCCACAGAGTCAAATGCCGCCTTAAGGTCCAGGAAAACAACTATTTTAGGACGCCTAAATATGTGTCTGTGTTCCAGGACCTGTTGTAGTGTGAAGATGTGGTCTATACAGCCACGTCCAGGTCGAAAGTCAGCCTGGTTTTCTCTAGTCTGCTCTTCACGAGCACTAGTTAGGCGTCTAAATATAATCAGGGCTAACGATTTAGAAACTATATTAGTTAGACTGATTCCCCCGTGATTGTCGCAAGAAGACTTTTGTCCTTTCTTATAGGTTGGGAAAATCAGTGATTGAGACCAGTCGATCATGAATCAACTGTTCGCTATTGTATATCCTTAGTCAGTTTCAATCTTGACTTATGAAATGCTTGTTAATGTAGAAGTGAGTTTCAAATAAGAACAGACATTGGGAATTCAAGATGTTTCTTCAGTTTATGAAATCATTTATTGATTACTGCAAATTGTGATCTTCTCGTCAGAAATCAACTTTCTCGTTGAAAAATACTGGGGCTTAAACTGACTCACTCTTTTATATGTTCTCTGTATAATATGAATATTCATCTAGTCGTGATTCTTAATAAACTGAAAAAAATTAGAATTGCCAATTTTACTAATAGACCTCCTTACAGACATTTGGAAATAAATACATTGTAATCGGGGTTTTTTTCTTAGTGTTTAGCTTTGTTTTATTTCCAATGACAAACATCTTTTGAATTGCAAGAGTTATGTATGCGCACTGCTGATGAGTCCCATACCAAGACAAGGTGGCCGTCTTTCAGTGCTTCCAGGCTAACAATGATTGATTGATGATTTCAACATGTAAAAACAAACCCTAACCACTAGTATGCATGCTTTTTGTTACGCCTGCACGTAAACACGTCAACTTGATATACTTGAACTATTACGAGTTTACCTAGTCGGAAAACGAGAGCGAGGATCGAGGATCCGGTGACACGACAAGCTACTCAAATCCGATTATCCCAGCTCCCCATATTGAGTAAAATAAGAACACTTGATATGAAGTAGAACTGGTATTCTACAAGCATCCAGAAAGTATGAGGTCCGAATCCAGAAGAGAATCAGGATCCCGGACTAGCGATCCGGGACCGAGCCCTGGTCCTGGTCGTGGTCATAAAATGTTAAAGATAATGCGTATTTATACATTTTGGCCGAATAGGAAGCGGCATCGAATTCTGTAGCATTGACAGCTAAGACGACCAATAGGAAGCAGCATTTAAAATGACATTGACAGTCCGGATGACCAATAAGAGACAACATTGAAGTATTTGACTTTGACAGTTAAAACGACCATAATTTTAACCAATAGAAATCGACCAATAGGATTTGACCAATAATTCTCTTAAGATATTGGATAAATATCCTAACACTTTTATCGTGTAGTTTTTAACTGTTGTGTCAATACTGGACAGAGTGAAAAAGTTAATCACTAGTTAAATTCCATTTCAAATAAGAATATTTATTTACTTGGAAAAATATTTTTTTATCTGTTAGGCGGTCTTTTCCCTTATCAACTTGATGAAAAATTCAATTCTGATGTGAATGAATTGAAAAATCAACTTACTGTTCAAATTAAAAAATTGGAATCGTTATATTCAAAAGTTAAAGTAAGTTATCGTCTAATGTACATATTGTTTGTTAATTTATTCAAGTCAAATTTATTTATGAATATAAATGAATTCTGTCATCTCTGTAGCATCTGCCGAACTGATAGATGCTCGGAAACTCATCTCGTCTGGCTCTGAACATGAAAAAGAGCGGAATCAGCTTAAGCGCAGGCTGATAAGAAGCCTACGCAATGATCGCGAACAGTGGTGAGTGGAGAAAGCGAGAGAGATGGAAAAGGCAGTGGCGATAGGCAACAATAGACAACTGTTCCACCTTATAAAGGAAACTGGTACTAGGAATCCATCTGTTAGTGAAACTGTCTCAAAAAAGGATGGCTGCATCATTCATTCTCAACTCAGGAGATTTGATCGATGGGCAGAACACTTCAAGGATCAATTCAAATGGCTTTCAGCCTCACTTTGGTTGCCAACTATCTCCAGTCGACCCGAATGGCCAATTGATGTAAGTCCTCGAACTCTTCATGAAGTTGGTAAATCGATAGGAAGTCTGAAGCGATGGAGAGAAGCAGGACCTGATAGACTGACCTCTGAGATTTTTAAGGATGGTGGTCCAGTTTTAGCAGTTAGATTGACTGAGATCTTAGGTGGGATTTGGGTACTGTACGTAATTTCATCTGACTAATCTCAATCACTGATTGTCCCAGTTTATAAAAAAGACAAAAGTCCTCTTGTGACAATCACAGGGGAATCAGTTTAACTAATGTAGTATTTAAAATATTTGCCTCAATACTACCGTGACTCTGTCGATCGTGAGGTTCTGTGGCAGTGTCTATCATTGAAAGTTGTACCAGAGAAGTACGTTAACTTTATACAAACTCTCTACTCGAACACTACTGGTCGAGTGAGAGCTAACGTCAAACCATCATCGAAAATGATTACTTCAAGTGGCATATATATACATATATATATGACCTATCTGTGAAAGTATAGGTCAAGTACCATCAGACTGGAAAGAAGGATACCTCATCAAAATACCAAAGAAAGGCGATCTCAGCAAGTGTGAGATACTCAAAAAAAATATCAATCAACACCAAAATCAGGATTTTCAATACAAATGTCAAGACAGTTCTACTGTATGGAGCGGAAACTTGGAGAACTACCAAAGCCATCATTCAGAAGATACAAGTGTTTATTAACATTTGTCTACGCAAAATACTTCGGATTCGTTGGCCAGACACCATCAGCGACAACGTACTGTGGGAGAGAACAAACTAGATCCCAGTGTAGGAGGAAATTAGGAAGAAGCGGTGGAAGTGGATAGGACACACACTACAGAAAGCACCCAAATGCGTCACAAAACAAATCTTCACTTGGAACCCTCAAGGTGAAAGGAAAAGATAAGGGCCAAAGAACACATTACGCCGAGAAATATAGAAAGATATGAGAAGAATGAACAAAAATTGAACAGAACTGGAAAGTGAAGCCCAGGACAGAGTTGGTTGGAGAAAACTGGTTGGCAGCCTATGCTCCATTGGGGGTAAAAGGCGTAAGTAAGTAAGTAAGTATCTGTGAAAGTAAGTTTCATGACACAGAGCTCCAATTTCAGTGTACAATGTAAAAAGTATATTCTATATACTTGACAGTTGTTTTATCAGTAAATAGTGCAAATGATGTTGGTTATAGATCAAGTCCAATAATAATTCACAACTACAAATTAAGATAATCACGTAAACAATAATTGGATACGTGATTGTAAAGCATTTGATCGAACGATCATTTATACAATAAGCTGAAATATATAACCTTTTTTCAGAATAGCTAATCACTTGATACTTTACATTACAGTTCAATTTTTTCTAAGTCCTGCTATGTACTTGAACTTGTTATATTATGAAAATTAATTATTTAAACATATAATTATTGAAACAAAAGGACACTGATTTTATTTATGCACGACACAAATATTTAAATTTATGTGTGTAGGCTAAGATACTGCCCGCGTGTCCAAACTGAAGCTAGTGGTTTTATGAGAGGGACGGACACTCTTTGAACCTCTGACATACTAGTCTAATCCAAAAGACAACGAAGCTAATATAGGAGATGCAGTCCCATAGTAGCCAATGACCGTCGTTCAACTGCTTCGGGATATATACTCGATGTTGATTTTTCTTTGGAAGCGTTATTCATAGATCAATCATGTGTTCTTTCAGACGACATACGTAGTTGCCTATATCAGTTGGAACACTTGTACCTGAAAACTCCTGGTAGAGACGTACAGTGGTAGTTCCATAAATCAACTCTGCAGGACGGCGACATCTTATATCTTGTTTAATTGTTGAATTTAAGCTCAACAATGCTGCGACAGTGTTTGTTTTGATTAGAATAACAAAAACCTCAGTTGCTATTAGCACACTGAACCACCAACTTTCATGATTTGAACAAGTTTTACCAGTTTTATCGTAGAAAGTTGTACACCATCTATTATTGTGTTTACTAATGCTGAGATTGGATGAAAAAATTGAAGCCAAGTGATGATTGGTGTACAATGTTGCATTATGGTATGAAATACAGTTGCATAGGTCTCGCATTAGATCTTTTTATATCAAAACTACTGTTGTAGTGAACGAGAACACCGGTGAGGGAAACCGAATTGTATTTGACAAAAATTACAGAGTTACTCAGTAAAATCGGAAAACCATATCGTAAATCGTTAATTTGCAAAATATCAGTTCATCATATTGAACTGGACTGTTCCTGTTGCAAAAAAAACATCAATCCATTGTCACTGTTCATGCGTTTCATACAAATTCCACTGTGTTCTAACTAACTCGTCCTTTCTTGATCTTCGTCCATCTTCTGCTGCGCCAGACATTACGTTGACATTCACGTCATATACTACATATAAGTAGCTCGCACCACACTGTGTTTGTGTCTTATAGATTATTATCAATGTTGATGCTGTTGTCATTTTTCTATTTAATCTTTTTATTTATAAAAAGTGAAATTAATTAACTTTTATGAAAATGGTTTTAATCGTATCATAATATCTAGCGTTAGTTGCTATTTTTAGCTCATTTATTTTTATTGATTGATTTTACCTGACCTTTCTTCTTCTTCTTTTTAGTGTTCACGTTATTATCATTCTTTTTGTATGTGGCCAGTTTTTTGGTTTGATAGCGTACTGCATCAAAATTTTATTATTTTATTGGGTAGCCAAAACGAATTAGAACTTTTGTTTTCTTTAAGTCAGATAAATACCGGTGAAGTCGCATACATGCCTAAGTTGTTGAGTGCAATAGTTGTAAAAAAAAAGATAGAAAGTAAAGCTGTAATCTATGAGACTCGAACTTTTATAGACGATCTTCCATACCTATGGTCATCAATAGAGGGTTATCACTTAGTGAGGAATTAGGCTGAAGAGTTAAAAGTTAGAGTTTGAAATTAGAGATAGGATTTTCATCGCGATGTGACATCGACTCCTAATGCCAAGCAGCGATTCTGCGCTAAAATCCAAGACTTATTATCTATGATTTTATTGATTCGTTAATAAATTTTAGTTTCGCCCTCTAATCTTTATCTCTTTTTTGGTGGTTGGACGTAGTTGACAGGACGCCATGGACTTAGGTTTCATGTTACTTGGTACTCATTAGCAAGGTGTACTTGTAATCTTAAGGAGACTGTCGCTTCCTGACTAATTCGATCCCGTGTCACTGAGGTTCACAGTCAGAGACGTTAATATTGAACCCTCTGGGCTGCGACTGACCTGCCATAGTACACTGAGATGTATTTACAATTGATCAGTCACTGAATAGTGACCAATGTCATGCATGCCAGGTTCTACTCAGTGCAAATGTACATGTTATCACTTTAACTAAAGTAAATTTTGAGATGGTGGAGAAGATGTGTAGCTCAGGTGGATGATTGTGGTGGTGGTATTTGGTTCTCTTAGTTGGATGGTTTGTTTGTGGAGCTTTCATTGTTGTTCTGAACAACATCATCAGTACAAACTTCAGATAGATGTGAAGCATACGAATTTCTCCACGTTTGACCTGTAGCTTGTTCTGCTAACCTCGCTCTTGATTCGTTGTTGTTGACCTTAAACCTGTCGTTGTTTGCACCTTTGTTTTGATTGCAATGAACAATGAAAGCTCCACAACCAAAACACCCAGCTCAGAGAATCAAACACCACCACCATAAAGTAAATTTGCAATAAAATATAGAAATGGTTTCTATTTAGGCACTGCTATTAAAGTACATTAGTTTTGTAGCTGTTAAATACAAACTTGCGTGTAATGTATAACTGTATAATAAAAACGGTATATTTTAAATTCGTTTATTGAAAATCCAAAGAAATCGATTTACTAAACACACTGCTAATGAATCTCATGCTAGGTGGAAACAGCCATCTACTGCTTTTAGGTTTCTATTGATAGTTTAACGTTGATCGGTTCATGATTCCGTTGTATGTGTTTTTGTTTATTTGTTGATAAATTCACTTTCTCCATTTTAAATATTCTTTGTTTACCGTAATTCAAAACAATCCTATTGTAAGAAAATTATTTTGTTCATTGTCTGTCTACTTAAGTAGTATAATTCTATTTCCATCAATTTGTTCGTCGTAATCTGGTTGTTGTGCAATAATTTTCAAGTTGAATCGATATCTCATCAACTAAAAAATTGACTTCAAATTTACATTATAGTTTGAACTAATTTTTTGTCATTCAAGCATTTCACAAAGTTGGCAATGAATTAGTTTTCTACTGGAAAATTGAATATATTCAATATCTAAATTTAATCATTGTGAACTTGTGACTAAGTTCGCTTACAAAGTCATTTCATTTTAAACAACCTAATTCTTCTACAATTAAGTATACTAAATCAGTCCATTAATTGTCTAACAGAGTCCAAGAGTAGGTTAATTTAGGGATGACAAACTGTGTCATTAAAACTTCATCTGTTTTTAGGATAGAAATTGATGTAACTCGTCTAACGATCTGAATTATTTTAATTAAAGAGTACACGTAAGAAATTTGCGTATTTCTGTGATGCATAGCAGATATTATCGAAAGTTCACTCGAATCATACATTCGTTAGAACTAAATATATTTGTTTTTGTTATTTTTAGGCACTTCAAAACGTTGGGAACGTTTTTATCATCAAGCTGATTATAATTTTTGTGATTTCATACGTATTAGGTAAGTTGTACATTACTTTTTTATTTTCTCCTTAAAAACTAATCACAATATATACGTTTCATTCCATTTTGAATATATATATATATACTGATATATGGGATAATGGCTACCTGTTTTAATCAGCTGATTTTTAGTCTGCGCGTCTAAATATCCGAGTTTTGTCAGCATAATGATTTCATCAACTGTTTTCCATATATATATTACTAAAAGTCTTGGATATAGAGGTGCGTTTGGATATGAGGACTTCGTCGTCACATATGGAAGTTCAAAATGACAGATCATTTGTTTGTCAATGTGTTTACGACCGATCTCAAGTCTTGGGTTTGAATTTGTCTCATTACAGAGAATGGCCTAATACAGCCGAGAGTGGAGAAAGTTCACTCTTCATCTTGAAATCTTCTCATATAGTCACACGTATACAACCACTACCACCACGCAAATCCCATTCACTGCTTTTTCGTGGTAGGGGTGTTGTTTACGACTCTGAGTAAATGAAAAGTGAATGTCCGATGCTTAAACCAGACTGACGAATACGAAAGATTCACATAGAGGAGTTGGAAAACCCGGATTCCAAACCAATGGTATACATTGGTTATCGGATCTTGGAGGAACAAATGTTATGTGGACGCATTCTCTGTCATCGGCTACCATGAGACTGCATCTCCTATGTAGCTTTGTGTTTAGGATATTCATCCAATATCCTAAGAGAATTATTGGTCTACTCCTATTGGTTAATTCCTATTGGTCAATTTTATGGTCGTTTTAAGTGTCAAACTCAAATACTTCAATGTTGTCTCTTATTCATCATCCTGACTGTCAATGTCATTTCAAATGTTACTTCCTATTTATCGTCTTAACTGTCAATGCTACAGAATTCGATGCTGTTTCCTATTAGACCAAAATGTATAAATACGCATTATCTGTCACGTTTTATGAGCACGACCAGGACCAGGGCTCGGTGCCGGATCCTTAGTCCGGGATCCTTATCCTCTTCTGGACTCAGACCTCGTACTTTCTCGATGCTTGTATAATACAGGTTCTACTTCATATCAAGTCTTTTCTTCTTTTACTTAATATGGGGGTTAGGATAGTCGGATTTAAGTAGTATGTCGCCGGATCCTCGATCCTCGCCCTTGTTTTCCGACTAGGTAAACTCGTCATAGTTCAAGCATATCAAGTTGACGTGTTTACGTACAGGCGTAACACTTTGTTGTCTTGTAGATTAGACTAGTATGTCAGAGGTTCAAGGAGTATCGGTCTAAGAAAACCACTGGCTTCCGTTTGGACACGCTGGCAGTATCTTATCCCACACACACAAATTTAAATTTATGTGTGGCGTATAAATAAATCATTATCCATTTGTTCTAAGAATTATGTATTTAAATAAATTCATTAATCACCAGTTAGAAGTCTACTCTTTTCAATGACTCTTAAGCAGTACGATTTCGAAATATCATTTCCAACTGAATAGACAACTAAATCACTTTTGATAAATAAATAATCCGTATTAATAATCTCTTCATTATTGAATTAATTTAATCTCTATTTTTTTAAAAAAAATATCGAAACCAAATCTAAACAAATACATTACACAGATATGCTTGGGATAAATATTTGAAAATGGATATTCCTACAAATGAAAATATAGTAAATAGTTACATAGATTTACAATTACCGAAAAATTGGATTTTACCACAACTAAACTATGATACTACTACTCATACTACTAATCCACAAGAACAAGAAGAAGAAGACAATGAAATGAACACCATACAACAGAAATGGAGGCAATACATTAAACCAATACCATTGAATTAATTCATTGTCTTTTATCTTGTAAAATTGTTTCTATTTTTTATTTTGGAGTTTATTCAATGTACAAATAAAATGTTTATTGTCCTGTGTATTATTGATTCGTTTATTTGGTTGTTCTGAATGATGAGAGAAGATGCTGGAAACAGGATGTTTCATTTTTTACTTCGTTCATTTTTGCTATACAAACAACAATGCATTCGACCAGTTTTATTCATTTCAACACATAAACTGTTATAATTCTCTCTTTATTCGTAATGCTACTCCTCAATCAGTCAGTCAGTCAGATGCAACGTAGAACTTTGTACGTAAGTACATCAGCAGTTCATGTTGCCATACCACATCAGCACACAGAGATGCAAATGTCAAATCAAATCCAAGAGTGATAGAGGTAGTGAAGGTATTAGGAGTAATCGGAGAGGTTAGGATTAGAAGATATTATTCAAGAAGTATGATTCAGTGAGAAAAGTTTAGAAAGTCAAAACTAGGGGGGTTGAAGAATCCAGAAGATTAGGATTCGAGAGAACACAAAGAATAAATGCACCGGCGCCATTGCGAACGATTTTGAGCCATGTTAATCAAGGTCTCTAACCATCGATTATTATCATCTCGCGGACCCCAACCAGGTAGTCGACATTTACCGACATGGCTAAGTCCACTCGTCAATGACTTCATGGATTTGTGCCATGTTTTGGTTTGGCCGCCCCTAGCTTTCTTCCAACCTATTCCTACACTACAAAACAAAGCTCTTCGAGGCATTCGGTGGTTGGGCATACGCAACACATGTCCCAACCACCTCAACTGATGAAGTGTCACTACTGCGTCTATTGATCTGCCATTCTTACCTAGCACCTGATTCCTAATAACGTCGTTGCTCACTCGGGTGTCCCAGGACACACGAGTAATGTTTCGAAGGCACCTATGATCGAAAACCAATAAAGGACGAGTATTTTCTACTCTCACTGGCCATGTTTCACAGCCATAAAGTAAGACGGAGCGAACCACTGCTTAGTATTCTCGGACACCATTTTCACTCGAGACGTTCTCTCCCAAAATCATAACATGGTTGTTGAACAGGAAACGGAGATTATATTCCAACAACAAGGTTAGAAATGGAAGATAGAAGGTTCAAAGCAACTTGGACGTTAGCATATTTATAGTTTTCTTACATGAGAAGATTCTAGAATGTTCCCTCAGTATTGGCTAACGCTGATTGGATACGAAAGAGCCAATCAGCGTGCAGCAACTCAACCATGCTCTGATCCAATTTATGTCCTACTAACATAAACAGTGATACAAAGAAGCATCATAAAATAAAGATATGCTTCATACAAATCATTAAATTTCTATGTGACCTTGAATTATTACTCACGTGCCTAATACAAAATAGGTGAACTGCTGCGTTGTATTATTAAATCTCTTTACATAGTTCAAATTAATAATTAATTAGAACACGTCAGATATAAGTGAATAATATTGTTTTTTAATTAGAGTTTAATATATTTAAGTATTTATATACATATATGATAATATTAAACTCATCAAGATAGTTTAAGTAATCTCTGATAGCAGTGGGTTAGATGCAATACAGTAAGTAAATCGCACAAATCGATAGTGTGATAACAGGTATGTACTAGTTGTAACAACCATAATAAAAGCTTGAGTTCATATTTCATTACAGAAAGCAGGTTTACAACTTAGATAAATAAATACTGAAAATACCCCGAGGGTAGCTGCTGCCTTGATGTGGTGATCGGGCTTGCCTATCGGGATAACTCGAACGATCTACATTGGCTGAAACATGGACCTACCATAGCAGGTCGGCTGGAGAACTCAACCTCTGAGGGTGAAGTAATACTGCCAACTATAGAGAATTGTAACAGCAGGAAGGTGTTTCCCTCAGACAACCAGCATCTGTAGCCATACTGCCTTCTCATAACTCAAGAAAGGGGTTAGAAAAGGTCGACCCTGAAAATGTCACACCTTACCTTACCTCACGAATTTCGGTCTCCGATGGTAAGGCTTTCTAAAAAGAAAGGAGCTAACACGTTAAATACTTCCCATAAAAGACCGTGAATTACCGACCTCAAGCTGTTGCCCCTTGGTCTCTCAGGTCGCTAAAACCAACACTAATCTACCTCCTATTTCAGATTCCTCAAGAGGGAATGCTCTTCCACGAATTTGGCAACTAGGAAGTGACATCCATCCTAATGCACTTAACAGCACACGAGATCATATTAGTCATAATCACATCCTTCCTATACCTCTCAGTAACTCCCATACTTCAACGACTAGCTCTTCTTTGATTCCTTTATCACCTAGCGCAGCCGATACAAACGATCCGATCACACGAAACGTTATTCCTGATCTGAAACCACCCTCTAAACTACATTTTGGAGCATTTAATGTCCGTACCTTGTTCCAAGCAGGACAACAGGCTGGTCTAACTAGGACACTAGAACATCATGCATCGATATATACTGCGTAATGTGCAAAGTATAAAACATGTCTTACATTAGTGATTAGCTCCCATAAATTCCATAACAATCTCTCGTTTCTTCACAGTGGGGGTGGTATTAAACCGTACAAATGTGACTGTTCCGCTTGAATAAGTTGGCAATTATCTTTGTTATGAATTCTGCAGAGTTTACGAAAGGACTTGTATACATAAGATTATTAGTTATACGCAACATAGAAGCTGAGATGTTTGTTCAACATCTCGAATTCCCACCCTTCATCAGTACAGCAAGATGAAATTGTTAAGATCAATGTCGAAGTAATAGAAGTGGTGATTCGTGGAGGAGTGATTTGGATATGCACTACTGTTAGTTATTCTGAGTCATGTTACCCGTTCCATCCAGTGGTTAGGGCAACCAGACAGACCGTAACTAGGTAGTCTGGACCCGTATGCACGGCTCGGTCCAAATGTTAGGGAATTTTTCGTCTAATACGTTTCAGTTTGGTTGCTCGTCGTAGTAGGTTGTGATTCGACAAACGTATTTCATGTCCAAACCATTCTTGTCGATGAGAATTCCCAACCTCATTAACCAATTCATCATTTTTACCTACTACTCTGAGTCTAATATCAATGTTGCTGGTCGATTGGTACCAGTTTATGTGAGCGACGATGCGAAGATATCTATGATCAATACTAGTAACTTACGAATATCCCCTACTTTTAAAGACCACATTGTACAGTCATAAAGAACAACCTAGCAAATTGATGCTCTGAAAACTTGATTTTAGATATTTCACCTACATTACATATCACGTATATTTGTCAGAATCCAATCGAACTCTCTAAATTCATGTCAAGATTTAATTAGACATCATCTCACCAGAGGTGGTGAGACTTTTTCCAAGATAAGTGACATTGTTGGCAGGTTATTAAAACACTTCACTCCCTATCATTATTAATTTAATAAGCCAACATTTATTATGTAGGGTAATAAAAACTCATCTCTGTACACGATTAATCAGTTCAAGTAAATTAAAACGGAAACAAAAATTCCTTGTCATGTTTTCAAATATTTTGGAATCTATAGTTCATAAAATTGATCCTCAGGCTTCTCGTATCATTAGTAATTTCTATACAAATCATTTGAATTTTCTTTACCCTCATAGGATTCTGTACAGATGTTATATTAGTTAGTTTTCAAATTAGAAAGTAATAAAAATCTCTACTCACTCACTCATTGGTTGTCAATATGTTCACATCTCAATTGATTATCTATTTTTTGATGCCTTCTTCTCTTTTCCTTTGCCTCAAAACACCATCTGTTTGCTGACACTTCTCCATCATACTCAGTAGATATTCAGCGAATAACTTGTAGGCGATCGGTGTAGTAATCATTTTCCATGTGTTAAGTTTTAATGGTCAACTTCTTCCTTTCATCCTTTCAACACACACACACACACACACATGAAGTGACTTCATTCAAATCACTCACTAAGGTGAGTAATTTTAACTGACGCTTCTCTAGACTTACATGACTTGACATCATCACTAATAATTTCGGGTAAATGAGACGATTAAAACAACAACAACAATGTATAACCAAAATGGCCTCGAGGTGAAAATCACAACATGACATACACATATTACATTATTAAAACAAAACAAACATATTTTTATTGGATAATTTCTACCACAGAGAACTTTGATTTGTTATTGATTTTTATGATTGGAACAGATGAACCAATTCGACAGGTGGATGGATTTTAATAAAACATTAATTATTATAATGATGTGAAGATTAGTCAACACAATATTGAACTGACAAACAATCAGTTTATGTGTCTGTGTGTGTGTCTGTATGTCTGTGGATTTTGAATTTCCAATGAAATTTGAGTGTAAACTGATTTTTTTTTGTATCAGAAAGGATCACGTGGTTGTGTTTGCCTTCAGGGTCATCATATAATATAATGGACTAAGTTAATTATGGATTTGGATGAACGACAATAAAAATTATTTTCACTCTATGCTTCATTGATTTAATTTGAAAGAATCAATTTTCCACACACAAGTCAACAAAATGATAATATATATGTGCGTGTAACTTTGATGAAGAGTTCATGTTACGAATTCGATTCTTCCAAAAAAAAAGAATCATATTTATTTTTTAAAAGTGTATAAATTAAACAGTTAGTTGGATAATATTGTGAGAAAACAAATCTACTGACTTCATTCACTTCTGTTTCACAGTAGGTTGTTTTCCATAGGGAGAATGAAAATATAAAAAAAGACATAATATGATTATTGAGTGAAAATTATTAAAATTTAAACAAACATGTTGATTTAAATTTACAGAAATAAATTCAATCAGAAAAATATTATACATATATTTTTGAATAATTCGAATATTGGACGACTAATACAATTCTTTAACTATTCAAGATATTGTTAGCTGTCAAATACTACTATTATAATTTCTACAACGGTGATAAGATATATTCAGTTAGAGCTTCGGAGATTTGTGTTTTTACACATTTGAAATCATCAATCACTCGTTGTTAGATGACGATTAGAAACCTGGAAGAACTGGACGACCGTTTCGTCCAGGCATGGGACTCATCAGCAGTGCGCATCCACGACTCCTGTACCTCACAGGATTCGAACCCGGGACCTTCGATGTTGTGCGCGAACGCCTAACCATCGGACCACTGGGGCGGCATCTGACGGTGTTAATGTCTATCTCTGATTGATCTACGGATTTTGCGCGACCTCACCCATTTGTCTTTGGTAGTTACTGCCTACACCCGACATGGTTGGACTCCACTGATCACGTCTTCTCACTAGAATTCGAAGAATTTCCTCACGAAGCTAGTCACTAGTGAGCACATTTTAGGATATTTTCAATTAGAGTTATGGAGATTTCCAAGGTGTCTCGGGGTATTTATTCTCTTTTCGATACAGCTTTTCAAAAGCCTAATCTTAGTATTCTCTACAACAAGTTTGATAGAATAACGCAGAAACTAATAGAGTTCCGTAATTATCATGGGATATTTGCAAAGGTTTCAGATAACGAAAATAACCCATAGTGTCATTGAAAAAAAAGATTGTACGTCCTTCCGAATGTAAGTAAGAAAGATTCACCCTTAAGGCACATACGACCGTACGACTGCTGGATGGCTAGCTGAAATTATACAAACCTTTCAGAAATTCAATCAGTAAATAAATATTCCATATCAATGATATGATTCACTATTATTACTGTAACATCCATTTTTGAAGGCTTTGTTTGTGAAAATCCCTCCATGTATATATTTGTACAATGTCCTTATTGATTCCTTTAGTTGTACATTTTGTTAATCTGTTCGATTCCATTTTGAAATGATAATATTTGTATTTTATTATAGTTTCTATTTTTTGTGCCTTTATTGAGTTTCTATGTTTCTTTCTGAACTGCATTTATGTTGTTTAAGCTGATACTTAGTCATGGCGACAGCCATATTGATTTTTTCCTCTTTTGATTGGATTGCTTGCTTGGACTGGAATTGTGCATTTTGATTGTGAATTGAGGAACTCTTCCAGACTTGGAAACACCCTGTGTTATAAAGCAACCAAATATTATCTGTCGAACGAATCTGATCTATTCTGGGGGATAGAATATCAGCTATCTGTTGCTGTTGATTCAACTAATTGAACGGTAATATTTGTTTAAGTAATGATGTATATTTATATTTATGATGAATATTAGAACCGTTATTTACCAAAAATCACTTGTTTTGGTTTTAAACTGGGCAAGGCGCGAATCTAAACTACCTAGACAGTTATTCCTTAGTTCAAACCTCATTTTGGATCCTACAAGTAATTAGGTTATTATAAGTCAAATTTAAATAAGTTTGAACAATATTTTTGTCAGTTAATTAAGATCAAAGCATTTGTTAAATGATTTAAAACAAATAGTTAACTAATGTTTAAAATCCCTAGATCAATCAGAGTTAGACATTAACACCTTTAGTTGCCGCCCCAGTGGTCCAGAGGTTAGGCGTTCGCACACAATACCGAAGGTCACGGGTCCGGATCCTGCGAGAAGCAGAAGTCGTGGATGCGCACTGCTGATGAGTCCCATGCCTGGACGAAACGGTCGTCCAATGCTTCCAGGTTTCTAATGATGGTCTAACAATGATTGATTGATGATCTCAATGTGCGAAAAACACTAATCTCCATAACTCTAATTGTGAATAATTTACTTCAATTAGTATATATATCATTATAATAATAGTCATTTATTGACATCGCTTTATTATTTATTAAGTAATTTGCGAAAAAGGGGGGTGCCCAATGTAACTACCTCTCACGACTGACGATCATCAATAAAATTTAATTCCCGATTTGATTTTGATGCAGTAAACTTTGATAATTCATCAACTAACTGAATTCATCAGATAACTGGTCAATATTTGTGACTTTCTACGCTTACTGAAACGGAATAAAGAATTCAAACAGATTTTGCTGATATGTTATGAAAGTATACCACTTCAATCTAATTGTTTGATTAAGTAACCTTTTTGCGTTTAAATTTAAGTACTATATTAATTAATTAATCGAGAACTTTGAATGGATGAAGTTACAAGCCATAATCAGCGATGCAATATTCTGATATAGTGATTGAATTTTGTTAATCACAAGGTGAATATTTCATTCACTGTTACTTATTCAATAAAAAAACATTTGTCAATTCGGATGAAATTAAACACTCTTTTTTGAACAAAAATAGACGACAATTCCTTTTCTCTCAACCCTAACCAACTACATCAACTGGCTTATTTTGATTGGTCAATATTCGACACTGAAATCATTCTCACCAACCAATCAGATGACAGTAATTGGTATCAACAATCTCAAATCATTAAATCATATTCTGTTGTATGTGTATATAAATGAACATTGAAATGCTCTACAGAATATCATTTATCAAACAGACTAATTCATATTTCCTATTATGAATTACAGTGTAAATAGTTTAGCCAATACACAGCCTAGAGATTCTGAAAATTATTTCTATGAAAATATCAATCTTCATAATATGAGCAGTGACTCGTTAACATCAAATGATTCAATTTCCAAAGGAACTACATCACTCCAACCCAAAGCTCGTTTATTGACAAAGCTAATCAATAAAAGGAAACGTGAAATCACACGATTACGTAATGGTACTGGGAAAACTAGAACAAAGCCGCATCATTCAAATTTATTGGATGACAATATAAATCAGAAAGAGAAGCATGTCATTACAACGGATATATTATCTTCAGTTACAGATGAAGAATTACAAGAGTTACGTTTAAATATTAATCAACGTGAAAGACAAAGAATGCATGATTTGAATTTAGCCATGGATGGATTAAGGTAGATGGAAATAATGTTATTTTGTTTTGATTTAAATATTGAATATTACTCAGTTTTATTGATTTCAACTAAGAAATTACAAGGTCAATGTGAAACATGAAAACTCTAGAGTTTTGTATCAAATTCTGATACAATCATTTGTTTAATCTTTGGCATATGTTAAAATGTTCATTATTTAGAATTGTAACTCCTTATCATACTATATTGTCATCGAAAGTCATTGTGGATTAATACATGTTGTTACACATTGAGATCATCGATCAGTCATTGTTAGACTACCATTAGAAACATCCAGGCACTGGACGGATGTCAAGTCCTGGTACGCGACTCATCAACATGGCATGTCCACGACTCCTGCAAATCGCAGAGTTCGAACCTAGGACCTTCGGTCTTGGATGAGAACGTCTAACCTTACTAGTGACTAGCTTTGTGAGGAAATTCTTCGACTTCTAGTAAGAAGACTTGACCAGTGGAGTTAAACCCTGTCGGGTGTATGCAGTATATACCAAAGACAAACCAGCGAGTTCGCGAAAAATCCCTAGATCAATCAGAGTTAGACATTAACACTGTTGGATGCCCACTAGGTGCAGCAGAGGTTAGACCGAAGGTCCTGGGTTCGAACCACGTGAGGAGCAAGAGTCGTGAACACGCACTGCTGATGAGTATTATACCAGGACGAAACAGCCATCTTCCACTACTTCCAGGTTTTCACTGGTGATCTACCAGTGATTGATTGATGATTTCAAAAATGTGTAAAAACACAAAACTTCATAACTCTAATTAAAAAAAAAGATAAATGTTGGTTAGCACATAAGACGCTAAATTGGTTGGCGAAAAGATATAAGAAAATAATGTAAAATCTTATCGAGAAATAATGATTGAAGTTTCTAGGTTGCTACCCCAAAGTGGTCTTCATTAAGAACAAATAATGAATTGTTATTCAGATAGAAGTTTGAAGTTTGTTCTAACGATGATGTTGTTCAGTAGAAGAACAACGAAAGCTGCACCAATAAAACATCCAGCACACAGAATGAAACTTCATCACCATCATCATCCATCGGAGCTAAAAAACGTTTTCTCCAACATCCTAATGAATCATTGTAAACATATGTTGTTATGTTATCATGTCATGTCACTTACAACATAGAACTTCGTACGTATGTACATAAGTTCAGGTTGCCATACCCCATCAGCACAGAGACGCAATTGTCAAATCAAATCCCATAGTGATAGAGATAGTAGAGGTATTAATGGTAATGAAGAAGACTAGGGTTTGAAGATAATATTCAAGAAGTATAATTCAGTGAGATAAATTTAGAAGGAGAAAGATAAAGATGATGACTAATTCAGAAGTTTAGAATCAGAGAGAACGCAACGAATCGATGCACCTGCACCATTGCAAACGATTCTGAGCCATGTCATTCAAGGTCTCTAACCATCGGTGACTGTCGTCTCGCGGACCCCAACCAGGTAAGCCTACATCTACCAACATGACTCAGTCCACCTGTCAATAATGACTTCATGGATTTCTGCCATGTTTTGGTTTGGCCGTCTATAGCTTTCTTCCAACCTATCTTTTCTTACTAATTCTATTTTCATAATGCGATTAACTTACTCGGAATTATTATTGATCAAATTAGTTGTTTGGTCAGATGGTAAGAAGGTCCCGGGTTCGAATCCTGCGAGGAGCAGGAGTCGTGGATGCGCACTACCACTGGTGAGTCCTATACCAGGACGAAACGGCCGTCCAGTGCTTCTTCCAGGTTTCTAATGGTGGTCTAACAATGATTGATTGATGATTTCAAATGTGTAAAAACGCAAACCTCCAAAACTCTACCCCAAAAAATCTTTCTAAGTTGAATACTGTTTAAAATATCTTCACTTGTAATTCATAGTCTCTGTTCTCAAATGAACAAAATATTTTCAGATTGATTCATTAAACTTCATGATAATTTTGAAATTAATTTTGTGCAATCAATGTTCAAGATGAACAGAAGTATTTGATCAATGATCAACTTTTTTAAACAATTGAAACTGATCAATTATAGAGTAATTTATTCATGTTTTGTAGTGTGGGAATAGGTTAGAAGAAAGTTAGGGGCGGCCAAATCAAAACATGGCAGAAATTCATGAAGTAATTGACGAGTGGACTGAGCCATGTTGGTTGATGTAGACTACCTGGTTGGGGTCCGCGAGAAGATAATAATCGATGGTTAGAGACCCTGAATGACATGACTCAAAACCGTTTGCAATGGCGCCGGTGCATTTATGCTTTGTGTTCTCTCAAATCCTAATCTTCTGAATTATTCAACAACTCTAGTTTTGTCTTTCTAACCTTATTTCACTGGATTGTACTTCTTGAATAATATCTTCTAATTCTAACCTCTCCGATTACTTCTAATACCTTTACTACCTCTTCTACTATTGGATTTGAATTGACAATTACATCTCTGTGCTGATGTTTTTTATGGCGACATGAACTGATGTACTTACGTACAAAATTCTACGTTGCAACTGACTGACTGACTGAATGAATTTATTCATGTCAATAGTTTTCCTAATCAAACAACATCTAGGAACTTCAATAAAATCATGTAGTTTTTATGATTCATTTACTGAAACCCCCCCCCCCGGGGAATGTTGATGTTATTCTTTAATTTTCCAGATCTGTACTACCATACACTCAAAATTCACCAATTAAAAAATTGTCTAAAATTGCCACATTATTATTGGCTAGAAATTATATTCTTCTTTTGACAAAAAATTTAACTGAATTACAAGAAAAGTTCGATAGTATTCTATCACAAAATCAATCACTATGTCAGTATGAAACAACCATGTCAAATAATGACTCAATGAAACATTTATCAGTAGTATGTTCGATGGATACATCAGTGTTATCATCAACATCAACCTCGTCATCGTCAACAGTTCATTCATCGTTGAAAGCAATGAAACCAACGGTTTCGCCTGCTTTTTCTCCAACGCCATTCAATTATCCAATGTCAGTGCTCTCAATGTTACAATCAGTCCAAACATCTGAGAATGAATACAAAGAGAATAATCGGCCAGTTGGTGTAAATTCTACATTTCAGGAAAAAATCAATAATGGGACCATGAATACTGTATCAACATTCAAGTCGCCGTTATTTTCATTTAATCAGCCGAATTCGCTGACAAATTTATTCAATGACCATCATCCTTATAATCTAACCAATCACAGTGTTCATCATAACAATACACATGACCATTCACTTTTATTAACTAATTTCAGTAATTATTCAAATCATCAGATAAATTCATTATTAAAACTGAATATTAAACCGCCGACATCATGTATTTTGTCAACATGTCAGTATACTAAATAATAATAATAATATACATTAATATGTACAGAAATGAGTAATATTTATATAATTATTATGTTTTTGAAAAAAATAAATGAATAAAATTCATATACTACTGATAAAGTGATTTCCTGCGTTTTTTTCATATTTAAAAGATGTTATGTTACATTGTTGATATGTGAGTAGGTGCAAGCATGGATTGCCTGGAGGTATCAAACCAAAATATGGTACAAATAGATGAAGTCACTGACAACTAGATTCGGCCATGTTGTGGTGCGAGCTACTTATAAGTAGTATATGACGTGAGTGTAAACGTAATGTCTGGCAGCAGAAGATGGGGGAAGATCAAGAAAGGAAGAGTAAGAAAACAATGGAATTTGTATGAAACGCAGGAATAGTGACAATGGATTGATGTTTTGCAACAGGAACAGTCCAGTTCGATATGATGGACTGATATTTTGCAAATTAACGATTTACGATATGGTTTTCCGATTTTACTGAGTAACTCTGTAATTTTCGTTAAATACGATTCGGTTGCCCCACCTGTGCTCTTCTTCACTACAATGTTAGTAGGTGTAGACTACGTGGTTTTCTGGTACTTCAGACAATTGTAGATGTTTATAGCAGACTGTAAACGACATGGCTAAAAAACATTTTTGCAATGGTGTAGGTGCATCCTTTCTCTATCTTCGCTCAAATTATGATCTCTTGAATTCCTCATGACATTTTGTATCTGTGTGAATTGATTCCACTGGGATATACTTCTTGAATCATATCTTCGAACACTTAACCTCTTCATTACCGTCCATACTTCTACTGTGAGGACTGAGGCAGGCGAGGATGATTGTATTATGCAAATGTACACTCTGAGTCAGTTAAAAACGAAAACATTACATTGAATACTCTATTTGCACACCATCTTTGAGTCCTGACTTCCAACAGTCCATCGTTCTTCCATTCCTGTTGTTGCTCCCTTTAATTCCTGTTGGTACTGCAATTACTTCTTGCTGTCGCTCCATTTGCTTTCTGTTTTCCTCTTCTGACCGTGAGACTTCTTCTTTCACGTCCCTTCTTATACTACTTATATCGTTCGTATAAGTAGCACACACAACACAACTACCTATACTAATGCGGGATTTAAATTAAAAAATTCGATCTCTGTGTGTTAATGTGGTATGCTAAATTGAACTAACATAAGTTTGTGTCAGGTTCTAAGTTGTAACTAAGTGAATGACTGACTGAATCACTGAATGACGATTTATTTAAAAATATTTCCACTCACAAACGTTTATATCAGAGTAAGTAGCTGTAAATGAAGGAAGACAAGAAGTGAATACACCTACTCTACCGCGAACGATCGTGTGTTAGGTCATTCAGTCTAAAACCTTCGATTATGATAGAAATTCTCAGCCTAACTAGATAGTCTAGATACATCTACATGGCTCAGTCCAACAGTCAGTATTTTCATCAACTGATACTGTGTCTTAGTTTGACGGCTACTCCTAGCTTTCTTTCACCCCACTCCCTCACGAGATATCATTGCGCGTCCAGATAGTCTGTTGATGAACACACGTAACCTATATCCTTACTATCTCATGTGATTTAGAATCACTACTTCGTCAATGGATTTGCCATACTTACCAAGCACTCTAGATTTTTCCTCGAAATTACCTACACGATTCCAATCAATGATAGGAATGATGCCAAGGAACCTGGAATCGAATACGAGTAACCGATCAATATCATCTATTCGTACTGAGCATGATTCACATTCTTGTGGATGAACAAAGCGAACAGGATTACGCCATCTGTGTATTCTAAACGGATATGGGAATCTTCTGGTATATCGATTCCTTATAAGTCAGATAGTGAGAATTTTATAGCCAAAAGCATGTCTATGACAGGCACAATTGAAAACAGAGAAATCGGACAACTATGATGAATAGCGACTTCAGTTATCTATCCCCATGATAGTTCTCCGTAAGCTCACACTCTGTCAGTGGTGTCCGACAAGGGAGCCTATACAAAAATAATTTACTCCTTTAGTTCCCCTTTGACTGGCGGAAATTTCCATAAAACTTACCAATCTACGCATTCGAATGCTTCTCTGAGGTCGAGAAATACAACTGTGACTGAGAGTCGGTGGGTATGTCTGCGTTCCAGAACCTTGAGAAAGCGAGAATATTTGGTCTTGAAAAATTCATTCATAGTTGCACAACGCATTTGTCCGTAACAACATCTAGAATGACCAGCCATGAGTCAAACCAGAGATCAGAAATGAGGAAGATAGAAGGTATACTTTATCATCATCAGTCAAGGCAAGTAAAATAGGATTAAGTTCAGTCACTAGACTCCACCTAGGATGTCAGTCAGTCTAACAGCTACGACTAGATCATCAACTCTAAAGATCCGAACAGTGAATTGATAGGGACCGATTACTCGCTCTCGCCTAAGATTTATTACGGCTCACTGGTCCAGTAGTTAAGCGTTCGAGCACAATACTGAATGTCCTCGTTTCGAATCCTGCGGGTTGCAGGAGTCGTGTATGCGCACTTCTAAAGAGTCCCAAACCAGGACGAAACGGCCTTCTGTCAGTGCTTCCAGGTTTCTAATGGTAGTCTAACAGTAATTGATTGATTGATGATTTCAAAAACTATCTTAATAGTCGTAGGATTAAAGTCGAAATCCCACTCATACTAATTCATAAAAGTTACTGACTCAAGTGTCGGTAGAGAACAGTCACATTATTGTCCAAAGTATTTTGCTCATTGTTCCAGTCTCCTTAACTGAGAGTAGATCATTTTACTATCTTATTCAGAAATAGTCTCACTGACTCCCGGATGTTCAGTACCTCATTCCTTGATGTCTGAAAAGTTGTTTACTATCACAAACACTCTTCTCCTCATTTTCACTTAACTGCTCACCACTACTGACGATCACTACGTTGACTTTCCGTCAATCAAAGTCCAAGTTATCTTCAATTCTCATAGTGTTCGGAACCTAAAACGAAGGAGAAATGAGTTGAGGTGACTGGATTCCATCAATTTATTCCAAGTAATTTATACTATATTTATCTAAAGCTTATTGGATTTATCAATGACAAATTTCTTCAACAATGATCTCAAATGCCTAATACAGCATAATTATCTGAGAGTTTCAATTACACTCTGTCGATCGGCAGCATAAAATGAGGAACTAAAAACCATTGATTCACTAGCCTTATTGTCTCTGATCATCTGATGCAAAATCACCGGTTAGTTCATCATTTCCTATTTACCTAGTGTGCTGTTATTCAGTCACTTTTGAAATTTAAAGCTCTGATTCACATCGATTTCAGTTTTGTTCGAAAGTGATTGTATTTAGAAACGAGTTCTGTGTAAAAGAGAAATTCATATAGCACCCCACCGTAGCTGTTACCTTGATGTGGTGGTCGGGCTTGCCTATCGTGATGACCCAGCCGAGCTATATTGGCTGGAACATATGTTCCTGAAGGTTCTACCATTCCAGGCAGGACGATTGGAGAACGGTGAAAATAAAAGCAGTTACTCAAGGTCTGAGGACGAAGTCGTACTGCTGACTGCAGAGAAGTGTGACAGCGGTAAAGTGTTTCCCTCGGACAACCAGCATCTGCAGCGATGCTGCCTTCTGACAAGGAAGGAAGTGTTAGAAAATGCCGACCTTAGAAATGTCACACCTCACCTTACCTCATGGATTTCCGTCTCCGTCGGTAAGGGTGCCCACTAAGGGATTTTCAGAGAGGAGCTAATACTCAAAAAACCTTTCCTGAAAAGGCCGTGCGTGACCGGCCTCAAGCAATTGTCTGTTTAACTCTGCAGTCACGCTCCCAGGTCTCTACGACCAACAATAACACGACTTCGCTTTCAGGTTCCCCAAGAAACATCCTTCGACGGTGTGGGCAGGGGGTAAGTGATATCCGCCCTCATACCCGTTATTGCGCACGAGACCAAATCGGTCACAATCAAAGCCCTTAACAACCCCTAGCATCTCTCTTATCTCCATGACTAACCCTGCTGATGGTATATTATATAATTAGACTTGTTATAAGTGAACAACCGAAGTTTTTATTTCATGTAATGAAGACCAATCAAAAACTAAATCTGAATACATTGAATAGAAATATCTGATTTATTCATCTAATCAGCAACTAAAAATTTAAAAATGGTCAATATATATGTTGCTAATTATCACGTACTCACAAGTGACTGGATCCATGAAGAAATTCTCTGTGTATTAGTGAAGTGTTGTTGTGACCAGTGGAGTTGAATTATATCGAGTGTGAAACACTCACCAAATGAAGACAAGAGATAACTGTCACACAGTATAGTGGATTGATCAAAGTTCGACAGTAGCATCGTTGAACAACGACTCAGTAGTTAAAAGATTAGATGTTCACGCGCGAGACCGAAATTCCTAGATCCAACTGCTGCACACGAAGTGGTAAACGAGCACTAATTATCAGTGAAATGGTAGTTCAATGCTTCCACGTTTCTCATGGTTGTGCTCTAGCATTATTGATCTGTTCATAATACCAATGGATAATTTTACTGCATTGAATGGAATACATGTTATATTTAATGTATGTATATTCGATGCACGCAAATAACAGGAGCCAGACAAACAACATGCAATACAGTGAATGTGTAAAGGAATAGAATTTCGTTAATACATCAACATTGAGAATATCCGAGTGATTACGATTCCGTGTGCATGTGAGAAATTCATCTAGGAAGGTAGGTAAGTGAGTAGGTACGCAGGTAGATAGGTACGGTGAAGCTCACACGTTGAGAAATGCCTAACGATATAAGTGACAAGCTGACGAATCCCATTGTCCACTACAACAGACAAAATCAAAACAGAGTATAGTCTATGCAGGTCGTATAACCACTAATGTGAGCACCATCATAAAGGACATGCTACACTTGAAATCATCTCATCAATAACTCAACACCTGTCTACAATTGACAATATCAATAGACTAAAATGCTTTCATTAAATAAAAT